TCAAAATAAGCACATTATGTACTGCTAAAGTCACTCCAGACATATTTACCTTTGTATCAGCTTTCAAAGTTTAAATGATATAAGTCCTAGAGAACCTATGTATAAGATATACCCAGTATCATCGTATTAGTGAAAGAGACAACCGATTTGATGCTCTACTTGCCCACTGCGAGCATGAGCCTCTGAACTGACACGTTTCAGTCCTAAACACTCACGCATTTGTTTGTATTCATACCCGTGCGTATATTCAATCAATGGGTCACTTTCGTCTCTTTTTGGGATCTTGTTGTTGTCACAGATCGTGTTTTGGCTTAGTATTCTAACTAATTCCTATGTTCTCGGTAATTGTGTAGGCGACGGCTTCTCATCGTTGTAACGTTTAGTTTTAATAGCAGGCACCCTCTGTGACGTGTCCGAGCAAGAGGAATCCCACAAGTTTTGAATGTGTGTATGTGTTTGTCATCGTGCGACCCTGCGTGGTACACACCAGGCTGAATTTTAGCTTCAAGCAGCAAAAAAGTATGCTCCTTTCGCTTTAGTACTGCTGAAGGCTAAGTTACCTTTTTTTTGGCCAGGCAAATTAACAAAGAATACTCCAGTTGTTTGAACCGTTTTCAAAACTACCGATATGCTTTATATATATATATATATATATATATATATATATATATATATATATATAGATGCATGTAATAACAAACGCTATCACACATGTGCGAAATGCGCCTATGTATAAAGTTTTAATCACTTATTTATACATTTTTCGTACATGATCCGCTCCAAACATACAACCTATTACTACCCTGCTTGGCCTGAACTTAAGTTCTAAACCCAAAATCTTCGCACTTCGTGTATGATTCTGCTTCTCTGCGCGGTTATTCTTATAATCTCAATGTAGCCGTCTCGATACAGTTTTTTTGACAAGTTAATTTCGGTGAACCTGCTGCAGCGTTCAACTCATTCAATTACGTTACTCTATTATTACATTGGTTTCTCTTAGTTATTCCATCATACAGCTTCATTGCATCCGCTACTTTGATTCAGATATTTAATTATAGTGGTAAAATCATCCTGTAAGCTGCCGCGTCCCCTTGAGTCAATTATTTTCTGCCCTATTATCGTTGGGCCTTCGCTATGCTACCGTTGACTGCTTATTCTTTTGCTATATTAAAATGAAGTTATGTTAAGTTAAACTTCATTTCAACATAGCAAAAGGATAAGAAGTCAACGGCAGTACAGCGTAGATGTAGTTTCCATGCAAATATCAGACTGCCCGTGAAACCAAGTGGACCACTTGAGAGCATAGATATATTACAGAAATTTTTCATCGTTCCTTAGAGCAAATTACGTACGGTATTATTTTCGACAGCAGAAGACAAAAAACGGACTTTAATAAAATAATGAACTTCATTCTTAGGCTTAGTTAAGGTAGGGTTAACAAGCTTTGCATGTAGGCGATAACAAGCGTGAAAGCAAAAACCCCTAAAATTTACTAAAGCCATGTTTAAGATGGCCAGAAAATACAGCGATTTTTTCTCGTTTAAAAATACCAAAAGTAACAGAACTTAATACAACTAATCTAACTTGCCGTTTTTAGGGTTCAAGCCATATAGAAACATCTGCACTGAATTTGTTTGTGACTATGAACAAATCTAGCACTGAATTGTTGCAGATGTTACTCCCGCGTTAGGGCACTATTTGACGTACTGTTTCAAAAAAAACAAACAGGTGTCCAGCAGTCATCAAAAAGGAGGTACACTTGTAGACCTGCATGTAAAACTAAACAATCTTAGTCTATACAGGAAGTGTGTTCTGCACGCACTCATTGCCTATGAACCTGGAGGAGGCAATAGACCAGTGAATAGCGTTATTACGGATAACAGACCCGTGATTTTTTTTTAATATTAAATACGTTCAAGCCAGTCGAAGATGTGTGTGAGGAGAAATAGGTGGTGATATGTCCTTTTTAAAGGAATAATCTGACCGGACGTTGAACAGTCTTTTTTAAGATAAGCCAACCGCGTTCTTATGAAAGACCTTAAAGTAATATTTATTTTGTGTGTAAATCGAAACGCTATCCGAATTACTGCTGTTAGCCGATCTGATAACAGTTACCAACAAATTGCTTTCAATATAGGTGTCAATTCGAAATGAGGTAACACTAAAGGTCTCAATATTATAAATAATAAAGCGAAGCCCTGAGTCAATATAAAAGATAAAACAACGAATTGGGAGTGACATAATGTTTTGGACAGCTTATTTAATCTAACCGGATAGTGGGTATTTTGCTCTTTAGCTGATAACTTAAATTTCAAATGGCGAAATTTGCTTATTTATTTTTGTTTAATGGTTTTTTTTTTTACTCGTTTAAAAGGCGACCGCGAAAAGCCAAATTAATACACTGCACATAATACTTCGTAGCTAAGAAGACTCGTTCATGAATAAAACTGTGTACTTTTGAAGACGGCCCTTAAAAAGCCGATGAGGCTGGCGGCACACGTGTTTTTCTTATTTGTTTCTGTTTCATAAATTATCTTCACGTATAGATTATACGTGAGCTAAATATCACTCTTCGTGATTCGATATCCATTTCTGTCCACTGATCGTTAAACGATATGGAGGTCACGCTCTGATTCACATTACACTTTGATAAAGGGTTTGTATTTCGTCAATTCGACTATAGTGTTAGACCATGCCGGATGAAAGTACGAGTATAGGGGATAGATATTTTGCATCGACATGCCTTACATGGCTTCGCTGAATACCAGCAGATACATACATACATATAGTACACACGAAAATTTTGTCAACGTGTTAAATGGACGTACGGTCCGTCACTGCTATAATAATAAAAAAAAAAAAAAAAAAAACGTAAAAGCTAATAAGTTATGCTGACCAAATTGTATCGCAATGGTGCAGTCACTATTTGATGCTGTATTATTGTTACTTACTAGGCCCTGGGCCTCGCATCGTTGGGTCTTAATTGAAAACTGATTTAAATACTACTTAAAACTAAAGCTCGCAGGGATTACTTAGTGAATAGTAGTAATTTGTATTTTTCAAATTATCCTACACGAGTAAACGGTGATGATTTACCAGTGGCACTTGTTTAAGAAAATTTATGGTCGCTCGTGCTCGTTCTTTTTTTTTCCGCCTGTCTATCATCTCTGACTTCTTTATTACCGCTTTCTCGAATTGCGTCTAAATATATATTATTTCTTTAAATACTCTACGAAATTTACACCCGTTGCTCCACTAAGACGTCTCTATTTTTTTTTATCATTTGTTATCTGTCACTTATTTGAGGAACGCTGACCGTTGGTAAAGACCTTCTTTATCGCATTTAAATCCATTTAGCTTCGGTCTGTACAAAATGTCAAAAGGTATTCGCAATGCTTTCTCTCAACAAATGTCTCCGTTGCATAGCGCTGATCGATAGAGGAAGGTTTTTAGGTTACCTGTATTTTGGTTTCTGCCACGTTCTGGTTACAAAACGTCAGACGCTCCATTTTCCCTCTGATCCATGAACTAGCTAGGAAGCACTTTTTAACTTAGGTCCATTTAACTACGTCTGATGTGCCCCTACATATAAAGTACAACTTAGAAACAGGTGTCGAACCAAAGGTATGGTCTGAAATTAAAGCAACCGCAAACTTCCTTATATCAACAACAAGCCTTTGGGAACCGCGGTATGTCATTGTATTTGAATACGAAAAAAAGATAAAAATGTAAGTTATTATATGTTTTTTTTCTGGAACGGACAGCGTATTCTGAATGTCAGATTTCCATTCTAAGCCGGTATTCATTGTCATACTGGGTTGCTGCGCGGCTCAAATAAGTATTTTGATGATGAAAATTACGAGATGTGGGTCCGATATAAATAAAACCAGCCAGCAAATAAGCACACGTGTAATACATCCCGGCAACTATTTAACGAAAAGAAAAATAAACAGCTATAAGAATGGATTACATTTTTGATACTACAAAACATTAAAACTTAGCATTAGTTAAATAATGATGAAGGAGAACGATCGGGCTCAGAAATAACTGAAACTGGTCCAACCAATTAACTATTTAAACGAACGACCTATGACGAACGACAATGTTTTGGCTTGCTAAGGGTAACCTCCCATTTTTAGCGATTTTTCGCCAGACAAAATTTCCTAAAGTTAAAAAACTTAAGCAATCGCAGACCTTACATATTGTTCTCCGCACATTCGCATATCATTTTCTGCAATTTACATTTGTTTACGGTAACGCTTTATACGAATGGCTAACTACGCGGTAGATAACGGAATGACTAATCACGCTACTAGTTCGCGTAGCTGCATCCGATTTCAGGTCGGGTTGTTTTCGTTTCACATATAGATCGTTACCCCCGTAAAGTTGTCGCCCACCAAAAACCCCACCCATTTGAGCCCATTAGCAGCACAGGATGTAGCGTGAGGGTGAATCGCGTCCGTCCCACAAATGATAATAGTTGATTGCATTTGCGTTGAGTAGGACAGCCATTTTAGCTGGCCAACATAACAAATCCTAAAAAAAAAAAGCAAAATTATAATGTCAGAATCAGATATTGGCATTATTTGGCCACGAGCCACACAACGTGACGAGAAAATCGTTGGTCAGCAAAAAACGAGCAACACGAAATGAAATAGCGGTTAAGTAAAGAGAAAGACAGAAAAACAGTTCAGAAAATACGTTACCATCGGCGACGACACAAACGGCAAGGCCGTCACCAACAGCGAACGAACGTAAACGCTAAAATCTAATCTTCATCTGTAGAAGAATCTGTGAAATGTGGCAGGTGTTGGGTGCCTGTAACGGTAATTCAGGTCTCTGGTAGAAGCTTTGTTTTACTCTTAACTGTGCTTTTTTTTCTGCTATTGTTGTGTTGGGAAAGATACAAGGGTTCGACTTTCAGAGGGGAAGAGTGAGAGCAGTCAAACTTTTGCACGCAGATAGGCTACGCTATACATATATATATAACGAGCAGTGTCGGCAATGCTTAACAATACATCGGAGAAGGATTGAACAACCAAAGATTAACAATATGAAGTACGCGGTGAGTAAAAACCAACCCTAGAATTGGTTTCTCCTGGCCGAAAATGTTTAAGCGTGCATGACTTGTCTGTCCTATCACATAACACATTTCGAACGTCCTGGTATAAGCACAGGCAGACGGGATCATGTACAAGTTCTATTTTCATTCTCTTGCAGTGAACAGGGATGTCTAGCTCCATAATAATAAGTTATCAAACTTGCCGAACATCATGGCTATTACTCTTAGCAAAACCAGTTCATTTCGTTAGACGTACTTGTATAAAAATATAATATTTGCTATGATAAACACCCTGGAACATAGTCTGAAACTGTATTGCAGAGCTGTCTAGGCAAAATACGACTGTCGCTAGTAAAAAAAAACATTAGTCTAAATTGTCCAAAGCTATTTAGCGAATGGAAAAACTTGAATAGGGGTTACACCATTTATGCTAGAGTCCAGGTTTGTTGTTTGAGCATTACACCCAGAGCTTTTCAACAGCTGTATACACATGATCGTTACTACCATACCAAATCTCCTTATCGATGACTTGTTTAAGAACGTCGATAGAAGTATTCGTTAGGCCACCTCTTACTTTTTTACGATATCAAAAGTACGAGTATTTAAGTTGTGAGAATACGGATCTTAGAACTGTCACTCGATCGTTTTGCTGCAACGTCGATCTTGATTGAAGTACGGCGATGAGCTTCTACGTTCTCATTAGGTAGACACAGTGTAACGTTTTCAATTTCCGAGTAACGTTTCCAATTGTTGCTGTCGCCCTGCCGGAACTTAAAATATCTGGCAGTATTGACTGTTTCCTATTCCGGCAGTATCTGGTAAGATGCCGTGATATCTATTGCGAGCGCGAGCGTCAGCTTACGCCGGAATATACTCGGAACCGTTACCGAAGTCGCCTTCCGATCTCTTCAGGTCCATTTTCCCGCCTGATTCTTCTCTGATGGGCGGAGCACTCATGCGTCGTATACGATAATGTTGTGCTCCGGTTTTTGCTAGTAATAGTTGTGCAATTGTTTCTAAAATACACTGAAGGTGTTTCCAACTGTCTTGGACCTACCTTGTAAAGAATTTAATTCTTATTTCTTATGGTGTCCTTACATCGTCATACATATATTTCGAGGAATTCTTCATTATGCCGACAGCATTGTCCACACTGTTTCGCTCAAAGGACTAAACAACTTAGTTCTTTGTTTGAAGTTTATGGGTGTGGTCACCCTATCCATATCCTAATCTCCGTTTTCAAAATAATTGCACAAGCAAAAAACCATTGTTTTACTGAGAGTCTCCTGACTCACGGTGATCACTAATGTCCGATGTAATCTACCAGAGTTTTCATATTCGAGAACAGGAAGATTTGAGATTTTTGACACTAAACGATAATGTTGTCTCTAAGCGCTACCTTGTTTGATGACCCTCGGCTCAGAATTTTAGTTAGCTTTAGAGTTGATGCAATTATTTACCAGATTTGGCCTGTTAACGGTAAGCAGTTAGTTAAGCTATTTAAACATTTAGGCCCATTAAACAACAGACAGCTATAGTAAAATATTGCACATCCTTTGACAATTTGCCTGTGTTATGTGCTCTGAAAGAAGTATACGCAATAATGTTAGCTCTTCTCGGTTACAGCTTCCGTGAAGAGTAATCCGCATTGTCTAGTTTCTGCCGCATTTTTTAATCAAAAACCAAATTTCTGGCAAATGCCGAGACAAACTGCTTGACCAGGCGTTGAATGTTCAATAAGGCTAGGCAATACTCTAAATCATATTCATCGATTTGGCATACGGGTTCGCTGGGCATATTGAGCAGTGAACCCGTACATCAAACGCTCGAATAATCGTGTTGTAAACCAAGCTATTTGTCGCGGCTAATTTCGCCTGTTGTGTTGTGTCATAGAATCTTTTCAGGGTCATACGTGGAATATTGTCATGTTCTAATGTTGACAGCGGATGTCTTGTTAATTGTCCTATAGCTAAAATCGACAAATAGCCTGTTATTCTAAGGCTTGCGCCATATCCGTGCTGCAGCAAGAATTGTTCGAAGTCATACTGTGTGGACTTCGAAAATCGCTGCTTGTAGCGCATGCAAACACATAATGCCGTGTACTCCACGCTATGTTCCATAGTGAATCGTTTACGTTTATTTTCCTTCAAGTCACGGAAGCCACTAGATATTTATTAATTTTACAAAACAGACATCCCCTTGTACTTCGCCGCTGATTAAGAACAACTAGCCCCTTCACGCAATATTGACACTTTTGAACTCTTTAAAATAGTAAGCCATCCCTCACTTGCCCGTTCTACAACTGCTACTGAATAACTGCTAATGATCTCAGGTTGACGTTTTATAAAAATTTCAGCTTACTCTTATGCTTGCGGCCTTTGTCGGCTACACCATGGCTGGTGGCTCTCTCGGCCTTGGTGGAGGTTATGGAGGCGATTACGGGGAAGGTTACGGGGGCGGCTATGGGGGTGATTACGGAGGCGGTTACGAAGGCGGTTACGGACACCATCCTGTCGGCAGGGCATTCTCGTACGGGTCTAAGATCGACCACGGACATTACGGTGGAGGCGGTGGTCACTATGGAGGATATGCCGGTCTCGGTCTTGGAGGATATGGGTATCATGGTTAGCTGACGTTAAGACGACACAACTACCAGCCATTTCGTCTTCCAATTGTGTACAGTGTTTACCTAAACGCTGTATGCGGTCTTGGGTAAAGGGTGCGCATTGAAGATATATGCGATTACACTGAGAGGGATGTTAGGGGTAAAGGGAAGATCAGCAACCTGCAAATCTGATGTAAAAACCATCTCGCCTAACGCCAGTCAAATATTACAATGTTTTAATAGGGGCACCTTCTGGGAAAGGCTCGATACGTGAGAATGCGTAGTGAGAAGGAACGCAGCAAAAATATGTGAACATACTGAGCATCCGAGTCTCATAGAAGTGCCAGGAGTTTTGCAAAGATTCTGTGATGTAATAAGCTAAAACGATTCCACGTTTTTGCTTTGTTAATATGTGTAGATATACGCAAATATATAAATCTGCAATGAAATGCGTCTGTTTAATATATACGTACGCGTGGGCGTATGCGTCAAACGAAAACAAAAAATTACAATGAAGTAGTTTAAGCAGTTTTTAAAAACGATCGCATGAACATCTTCGGATTATTTCGTAGCTGCTACACCTATAACGTATAGTTAAAATACTAGTGAAATTGGAAAATGTTATTATTTGTAGAGTGTTTGGAAAAAACCTGGTATTCAAAAATAATTATATGCGTTTTTTAAAGCATGGCTGTGGGTATTAGCTTGTGAAGACAAAGTTATTGTTAGCTTCGATCAGGGTATCGCTTCTCAGGAGATTATAGCCTCCTATAGGAGAAACATCTGTTTCTTATACCAGATGTTAGTGCTTCTACTATGCTGACGATGCGTAGACCACATATCCATAAAAATAACCTCAAAACAATGCATGCTTCTAAAATATGTCGGCTAATATTTACGCCCGCTGATGTTTCTATGTATCTATTACAGAGACAGATGTCCTTTATTCAGCACAAACTAAAAGATTAAACAAATGAAAACACGCAAATTGAAGCTTCATATGACTTTTTTTTTCTTTAAAACTTGAAAATGCCTCTGAAAATCCTCTATTTTATTATGTATAAAGGTTTTCGCCTATTTTTTTTGAAAGATGCCGCAGTTACATTCATTGTTAATACTACGCCTGACTTAGTATGTCGGTATATCCCCAATCACATTGTGTACGACTTAAAAGCAATAGTGATTTCATTCGGATCATAGGAGAAGCAACGTTTAGTCGAATTTTTAATCAAAACTAGCACAGTGGTCGTCATTGATATTATATATTGACTAACTACTTGCAACCTTCTATGTAACGTCACTGCCCAATCGTAAGGAAGATCCTGACAACCGTCGCGATGATAAAATTACTTCTAATTTCCCCCTATGCATATACATGTACACCTATTTGACTTAACCCCTCGTCCATATTATTGAAATTACTACCATTATTATTTGCGGTATGACATTGTTAACCACATAGCCAAGGTTACACATCTGTTCATGGGACATTCGTATTTATCGTTCACCAAAGCTGAAGGTCATATTCTGTACACTCTGTATAAATAATGTGTACAAATATCTGAACGGAAAACTAATACGAGAACTTGTCAGGATAAAAGTTCCAGTTCGCCTTGTTTATTGAGTACTGATATTACAGGCGAACATTTTGTTAGTTTTATAGCCAATGCCAATTCTAATAAAGTTTTATTAATGTTAAAAACATTAAAATTATATATATATATTATATATATATATATATATATTATAGCAGACGTAGTAGATGTGTTGTTGACTAAAGCCGATTAAGAAGCCACAAATTTTCAGTGAAAAAAAAATAATGTTCGGCAAATGTTAGAAAAATGAGCGCCAGGTTTGAAGTCTGCGCAAAACGTCGCATTTAAATCATCGGAATAATTAGCTCGACTGCTCTCAACTGAGAAGGCACATGATTGCAGGTATATCAGGTTCATTAGCAAAATTATAATAATAACGATGTGAATATTAATTATATTCACATAGATGACGATCACAATCTCGTAACAATAGGTAACTAACTGGTTACCTAATGAAACACCGGCATTTCTTAAATACATGCTTGTTACACAGTTACTCTGTTCTTTGTCATCCATATCTCTCTCTCTCTTTCTCTCTAATACTAGATGCGGTTATTTAGCCCCGACGATGAGACGCGTTAACATGGTAACATTTGTGACAAAGATCGGCATTTACCAGTTTTTTTTGGCTTGACATAATGGGTGCCACAATGTTTTTGTATGCATACATAGATCGTTGAAATATACCTTGAAGACTGGGAAACTCTCTAAACTTTGGCGAATTGCGTTTTTTATCGTAACTATCTAACTTCCTATTTTAACGCTAAAATTGAATTGAAAAATCCATGACGCCACGCTTTGTATGCAGCTTGGCGTCATGGAAGGGGTCACTTGCTGCTTTCTGTATCTCTATCTAAGACCGCGTTTATCAACCATTACAAACCTAAACAGAAAATAAACAGTCACTGCCACAGGCAGCCGACATTGTAAGTATTGATCTTTTGTTACCGCAAAACCCTTTAGACGTTATTCTCATAGTTATTGTCGTCGTCCTTCGATCGACTTCTGTGCTCCCTTTCCTTTTCTACGATAAATACAACATCTACGATATACAACTCACGTTTCTGTTGTTTTGCAAAATATTCTCCACGATTGTGTTCCACCAGTTCATTAGTTGAAGACTGAGCCCAAAGTACGGTGTAAAAAAACTCGCATCATAAAAAAAAAACTAAAAATCGCAGACTTACACGATTTTTAATCGGCGCAACACCCCATAGAAACAAGGGTGTCGCTTGACTCGAACTTTTAGGCTGTCGACTATAAATAAGAGCATAATAAAAGTATCTGATATGCTGGCGTAACCAATTCAAGTTTCAAATGGAAATAATTAAGCATTTGACGGTGAATCTTCAAGGTTGACTGTTTGTGCTTAGTGGGAAATAACAAGGTCGCGTTATTTTTAGGAGAGAAACCGAATTTTTCGGAAATGAAAGGCGCTACACATAGTTTAAGGATTAAAAGCCCCATAGATGTATACCATATTCACAGCAAAATTTCACAACTTTATAGCCTTTTCAAAACTGCTAATTAAGTGACGACCTACTTCCCACGGGCGCTGATGCCAAACATTGATGACCTCGCTGGTCTATTTCATTTCATTCCTTTGAAACAGGGCGCTAATTAATAATTGTACCTACGGAAAGGTCTACGCTGCTACAATATATAGACACTTCTGGGGACACACTTATCACTATTTAGAGAGCGAACATCTACACTATCAGTTCGCACAATCAGTCACCGCTACTCATCATAACAACTTAACATTCGAGCGTGGTAAAATGTCGATGTGAGCAACCTATCGAACCAGTTTCAATTGTAATATTAAAGATACTTGACATCGTACCATCAAAACTCTCGCGACTCATTCGAAGATGTCGCAACAGAAGTAGTATGGGTATTGTGTTAACTCAGGCTGCAATACAGATATTTAATATCGTCTGAAACAAATCAAAAGCGTGCCTATATTCTGCAGATAATACTCGGATCTCACAGGGGCCTCTCTTGGACGGGAACGCTACCTGACACATCAGTTAGTGGTGATTCTTGTCCAGGAAAATTTGTCAGCTCATGCGAACGTCAAATGGGTGTTTCTTTCTTCTTGCTGCTACCACCGATGAAGTTTGGGTTGGTGACGATTTTGGTGCGACGTAGGTTTTGAAAACTTGATCCCTGCTCCCGAGAGACACACGTGCTGCTGGTCTGTGACGCCCTTCGTTGGATCATAGCTGTAAAGCTTACATTCTGTTCTCCGACACCGCTTTCACTTCCGGTAGTTACCTAAAGCAAAAAAAATGATAAAATACATTTAAAATAAATGGGTGCTTAGTTTGTCACTCGTACGTAACGAGTTTGTACGCAATAAACAGATACATTTTACAGATACAGTTGTTGCGGGAATACGCTCACTAGTTATGCGGATAACTTGCGGATAACCAGTTCGTTATAGCATGAACACTTTACTGTTGACCAATATCTTCAGGCCCTCATTGTGATTATGAACTCGTGAAATCTTCTATTTCGTTGCCGGTCATACTGACTATAAAGGATCCGAAAATTCTCATTTGCCAGTATCGAAGACCTACAATAAAGATTATTCCAAAGAGGTCGAAAATTGATCCAAAAATGTACCAAAAGATAATTTCTGAAGTCGATACTTGAGAGAAGCTGTTTCCTAGTTAATATCATCTATAGGATCGTTTATGTAGGCTAAACTTTTAATTTTTCAGAGCGCTGTAGATATTTTGCCTCTGGGCTGCGTGAAACCTTAATCAGCACACAGTTTAGATTTTGCATGGCATTTTTTAAGCGGAGGCTCAACAAATCTAAACGCGCTAATATCGTTCCATTCATGATCACTGTTAAAACATTATTGGGTAATTTAGAAAGTGAACCTTTGCTGATAACTTAAGATGTTTAGACTCAGAATCGGAAATATACACGACAGTTACAATAAATAAACACGCTCTCACGTGTATGAAACCTATAAACAAGCGCCACCCTGTCCCCGAACACCCTGAAAATGTTTTGAATTTTATAATCGTACTTGTTACACAAGTTTTAAGCGGATCGTTCGTACTAACCGACTCAGCAAAGCTATCTCTATTAGCAGGCTGTAACAGGGTCCTTGGAACCGCTCGCGGGGCAGCAGCCGTTGCACGTTCTAGCCGTTCGGTTCGTTCAGCTCCTTCGCCGCTGACGTTGCTTGAGGAGCTTCGTCCACTCTGGGAATTACCTCCGTAAGCCTCAATTAAAGCTGCCACCTCCTGATGGCCCGCTTTTAGCGCAACTCTTGCTGGTGTTCGACCACAGAGGTCGCTGTGATGGACATCTGCCCCGTGCGCTAACAGTACCCGTACCACCGATGCGTGTCCTTCTTGAGCAGCGATTCCCAGCGCGGATGCCCCCTGGTTGCATACGTGATTCACAGACGCGTCTTGTTCAATTAACAGGCGAACGACATCAGCGTGACCCTGCCATGCTGCTGATTGAAGCGCCGAACGCATCTCGCGATCAACAGCATCCACATGCGCTCCGCGACGCAATAGAAGGTCGACAACGTGAACGTGCCCTATGAATGCAGGAGAAACGATAATAAGAATATAGCAATTACTAATTAACGATGCGTTAGGATGGAAGCAACCTGAGCAACCGATTTCCTTAGCTGAGCAAAAGCACATTTTTATAACTGACCATGCCAAAAACCAGTATAATTGGCTATCTGTCAAATACCTTGCCATGCGGCCACGTGTAGCGCCGTGCGTCCCTCAAGATCAACTGCTTCGACATCTGCCCCTCGACCGATTAAGTGTTCCAACATTGACACGTTTCCCTCTAATGCAAGAAGGTACAGGGTAGTTCGACCATCAGCATCCTATCAATATTCGGGAATTAATGAAGAGACAATTATTTCAAAAAAGAATGACGTTATTATAGTACATATCGATTCTACATTTACTGTGATTGATGTTTCAACAGGTGGGCTAATGCCGCTTTCATAAGGTACAAATCTGTTATATTTATTAGATGCTAGACTTATATACCTATGTTTTTTTGGTATAGCATTTATTACGCTGATTATATTACTACTATATTTGAAAATAGAAATCATAACATAAACGAATTGCGTGACACTACCTGATAGTTCACATCTGCACCAAATCCTAAAAGCAAATCGACGGTCTCTTTGTGACCCTCCATAGCTGCCATACGGAGCGCCGTACGACCGTCATGACTTCGATGCTCAAGAATCCGTGGACAGCTCTGGATAAAGAGCTGGACACAGGCCGAATGGCCTTCTTGTGCTGACAGTATTAATGGTGTGCGGCCATCGGTGTCAACTTCATTCGCTGCAGTGGTTATTCCGACAAAAAAGGGAAGAACGGAAAGGAACGAGGATACACAGCCAGATTCACTTAAAAGTGGTTAACCAACGTTTCTCTAACCCACTAGCTTTAATCGGGCCGTCCGATTTTTCTCTATCAACTCAGTAAATAAAGAAAACAGCTGTAGTAGTAGAGATGTCGGTATAATCAAAGCAAGGTTATATTACGTCTTAAGGTTGATAATGTTTATAGACAGCTTGTCGACAAACTTCAATGTTTATTATATGTTACATTTATTTAATTAGAACTGGCTAGTTCGCATGATGTGAACAATTATGATACTGTTGTATTTCGTTTCAGTAGACTTGTATTATACAAGAGAATTATGAAACCTTGTTATACTATGAGGCCTATTTACTAATCGGGTAAAAGTCAATAATAGGATTACTGACGCTTAGCACCAGCCTGCATGAGAAGCTGACAGACTTGTGCGTGTCCTTCGAATGCTGCGTAATGGAGGGCAGTCCAGCCAGCGTTATCACGGTGAAGCTCATCCAATCCTCGGTCGAGGAGGCATTCAACTGTTTGCGAATTACCCTGGGCAGCCGCCACTGATAAAACCGTTCGGCCTTCCGAGTCGATAGAGTCCACATATGCGCCCCAGAACAACAGTCGTTTCACCTAAAGCAATTAAAAGAGGTATGGCAAATTTAACTAAAAGTAAAAGCTCGTAACAACGACACCGAGTAACACGTTGTTGGCCTCGATTCAAGTTTAATTCCATAATAGAGCTGCGTTTGAATCTCGAACTCATGCATATTGTGGATACTGCAGAACAGTATGCCGCTATGATATAACAATATGACTGACTCGTGACTGGGATATGATTACAAGACGGAATTCATGAACTTTGAATTTCCGACATTGGTTATCTCCCTTACTTAAAATATGACGACTTAAAGTAAATAGACTTACAACATGTGCGTGTCCCATTGACGCAGCAGCAAATAGCGGAGTCCTGCCTGTTGCATCTGCATGATCGACATCGGCGCCTCCCTCCAGCAACAGCTCACAAACTTCGGCGTGGCCCTCAAAAGCTGCTACAAGCAGCGCCGTCATTGCTTCCGAATCTCGATGATCCACCTAGCAAAACAAGTCGTTTTATAATTTACGTGTTGAAATAAATGACAAAGATGTTCTCAGAAATCAGCCGACGACAACAGTAACATTAGCACCGTTAATACATGGAAGATACGGATCGCATTGAAAGAGCGCTAGTAAATGGTAAAGATGTAGTAAGATAGTAAAACCATCTTGAAATCAGATGGTCACTTTCGTATATATATCGTGTATACAGACTGCACAGAATATCTTGTTTCAAAAATAAACCTCACGTTTACACAGCGAAGAGAATAACTGGATCGTGTGTACGAAGACTGCGAAAATAGGTACACTATAGCATTACGAAAACAGGAGCGATTAATTAGAGGATATCGATTGAGAACACGACCCGACAACAACAACAACAGCACCAGATGGTGCAGCCTTTGGTGTCAAAGTAAAACAATTTTTCGTCCAAACCAAATGTTATGGGTGTCGTGTCTATATCGATGGAACCTGTGTACATTCATAGCCATAGCAGCCTATATAGGAGTGCAGTTAACACGACCAATGTAACAAGTGCCACAGTAGATGCATTACTAAAAAATGTTTATTCTTTTAGTTAGAACGAGAATGAAGCAAAGGACCCGTTAACAACCATTTACGGTTTCGTATTACTCCAATTTCCTTTTGCGAGAGGAATGACAGACACCCCGCGTACCTCAGCTCCACGTTCAAGAAGTAGTGAAACCACAGCGGCGTGATGGCCCTGTGAGGCTGGCACACAAAGTGCGGCCACACTTAAAGCGGTTCTTCCATCCTTGTCTGCGTGATTGATGTCAGCTCCAGCGTCCAAAAGGTGGCCTTGATATACGCAAAAATATGTTCGCACAATTTAGGTATCTCCCACATCTAAAATACTTCTAATATAATATTACATATTTATCTATATATGTATATATATATATATATATATATATATATATATATATGTATATATATAATAAAATAGTCTTGTTGAGAGATATTGTCACAGGTAATTTAATTTCCATCAATTACGATAGAAACAGCAGTGCAGAAGTCCAAAGCAACTGATGATCTTGACAGATACACTATGTGGCATTTTGCCTTTGACGTAAATACATAAGTCATTCGGCTCCTAGTACCTAAAGGTCGAGTTCTGTATAATACAATAGGAAAGTACGAAATAATTCGGGGTTAAATTCCACTCACCAACTATAGCTGAATGCCCCATGTATGCAGCTGCAATTAGCGCCGTTCGGCCCTCAGCGTCCCGTGCGTTTACTGCGGCCCCGGCCTTAAGAAGCCGCATTACGATGTCATCGTGACCGCCCCAAGCAGCTGCTCGCAGTGCTGTTCGGCCGTCGGCATCAGCCAGATCTACCCGTGCTCCAAACTGTAATAGAGCATCCACCACAGCTGCATGTCCCGCCCAGGCCGAAGATCTTAACGGAGTCCATCCATCGACGTCCGCACGGTCCACCGCCGCGCCAGCACGCAGTAGAGCTTCTAAAACCTGTAGATGACCCTGACGAGCCGCTGAATGGGGGTAAACACAAGAAAAAATGGCAACACAAAACATACCGACTAGATTTTTTTTTTTTTGAAAAATCAAGGCTGCTGCAGGAAGATTGTACTTAAAAACAGTGATCTCACCGAGGTTTAGCGGCGTTTGGCCATTTCGGTCTGCATTCTCGATAGCTGCGCCCATCTCTACAAGGCGAGCTACAAGTTGAAGATCTCCCTCCTCAGCTGCTCGGTGCAGCAGCGTTCGCTGACTTGACGGTTCCGCTTCGTCGACGGTGTCTGGCGCAAGACTCGCCAATTGGCTTTCTTCGAGCAACGATGTTGCCAGCTCACTTACAGATGTAACTTCGTCATTGTCCATCTCGTCGAGTTGCACACAACTTTTAAACCTGAATATCGGTGAAATTAAGTTTTTTAAATAAGCGCCTTCGATACTTTGTTCTGAACATTAATTTTACCGTACAAGGAAGGCAATACGATTTATTAGCATTCCATTTCACAAAAACATATGTAGTTACTTTTTCATGTGGTTATACCTGTCGTGCAGTACCTATAATTGACAAAGCTCGAACTAGCCACTCCGCCAGTGTTTATACAACTTTGTACCTTGCCTTTATGCTAAATGACTGAGCCCAAACATTGGAACTGCTTCTTAGTATTAAGAATTCACGAACCTACGATGATACTCATTGGTTTCATTCATGACCTGACTGACCTATATAGCAGGGTTGAAAGATACAATATTGGCATATAATACAGTGATAGTCATTGTTTAGATAATTTGAGTACTGCTTGTTAAATATCGACCGTACCGTTTTAAATTCGGTGCTGAACATGCTTCAAGAAGGAGTCGAACAACTTTATTTTCGAGCAACAAGGAATTATTGAGCAGTGCGTGGTTATCGGTTGCCCCCAGAGAACTAACGGAGGTGTACATAAGAGTACTCTCCCGCAAAGGTTCGCCTGTACAATGAGATTGCCACATAGCTTGGTAATGCTGAGATAATCCTGTTCGTCGCAGATGATGCCACAGGTCAGAGCTTTCCTCAGTTGTGAGGTCAGTTGCTTTGCATAATGTCGAATAGCTGAAACCGATAGAAAGCGATAAATATGTCTCAGAATCGGATCTACCTAACAAAAGTGAATCAAATTTATACAAGAGTTAGCCGTAAATATCGGGTTTCTGTCGGATTTTTGTATACATTTACATCGGACCTTTATGTCAATATCCACTATGGGCAAATACGGCCTCAGGGCAATGGTGCTGGCAGTCGCCATCATGTTGTTAAACGGCTGCTTTTATTTGTGTCAAATATAATTCCACTGTCTACACACCTTTAACGAATAGGATACTATTTAGTCAGGAGAACAAATTTTGCAAAAAGCGAGCTTACCTCCTAGAATCTGAAACATGTTAACAGCGGCGGCGATGGCCCTGTGTTCTCAACCTTTATTGTAAGTGAAAAAGAAGTAAATTTTGCCTTTTGTCGCTGTTTTTCTGTTTTGCGATGTAGAAATATCGGCTTAGATATGGGAATATAAAGGTTATTCCGACTTGTTTCATCATGGATTTTCGACTAGCATCAAAGTACTACCTCTTTACAAAAAATCTACCCCTTTAAATAAAAAAAAAGAAAAAAGATTACCGATCGACCGAAACAGATCTTAGACAGAAAATACCGTCAAAAATATAGGCCATCCTATCTCCCATAATTTGTTGACATACACCTTCTAACAGATTTCAAACAAAGCACCCAAAAATATGAAAGGTCCAAATAGTTAAAACCTAGTTAGACGCTAGCACTAATAAATGTAGTAGATTTTACAAAGGCATACATGTACGATAGGCTTCCGGCATTATAGTCTCTAATGATGGACATGAAACCCTAAGGAGTAACATACCGAAGAGCCCACATTGCATGTCCAACTTGTGGTTTACAGAGAAACCGTTGTGTGCAATGCTTCACGTCGCAAAGCCATTCGGCGAAACTTTGGTGAAAGATACGTAGTCTGCGTCGATGCTGTGAGGACGGTGATACAATCTTCGATAGACGTTTCAACGTTTTCAATAGGCCTTCGCGGGTTAGCTCCGAATCCCAGCCCCACAAACATTGATATACGTCCTGAAACAAAAAAAAAATAGTAAATAAAGGTTTTGCAAGAATCGCAGTACGGAATTACTGCTAACATATAATAAAAATAACAAAAATGAAAAATATTAAAAAAATACATAAAAAATAATTTAATAAAAATCAACGGCTACCTACACTTACAAAACAAGGATATTTGTCCGTATTCTTAGTTCTAGCATTGGCTTAGATGAAGGCAGTTAATATACCGCATTGCAGATACGAACGACTAACTGGCAACACATTTCGAAACAGCATATCAGAATTACATATTGTTTGCAGTTTCTCTTCTGTAAAATACTGACGTCACTGGAGGCTTCTTATAATATGATAAAGATAGGGACCATTTTTATATTTTATATTCAACTGGTATTATTACGTGCATCGTACCTCAAACGGAACAGGTTTAGTGGCTGTGAGCAGGAGACAGAGGAGGGGTCGAACCTGTGAATCGAACTCCATCTTTGATCCAAATAATCGTTGACAGTACCAAAGGTAGAGTCCGTTCAATGTACCCGGAATGTCGCGGATTTCCCGCAGGATAATACTATTATCGACAACTCCATCCAGGACTTGCTCTAGATATAGTAAGCAACCTACAAGATACAGAATTGGCAAAGGGTTGAAGAAAGTCGTACCATTATGTGGATCACAAGAGAATCAAGTGCAAAATTGTACGTTGTAAAATGTTGTCTTGACCTTCTCTTGAGATTCGGTGGAACTTCTTTAGACTAGCTGTATATTTACTTGAATTTAATATAAAGACTGTACTTCGAAGTAGCGTAATGCTTTGAAATGAATCTGAAACGAGTGTTTCGTATTTCAACCAGCCGTTCATACAGTGAATGAATAAATGCTAAAAAAATGTCCGCTTATCATGTTTCGGTTATCGCCACGCCTGTTCATCTGTTAGCCCCCATTTGGAGATCTCTCTAATACAACGGGGCACCAATTAGAGTTGTCCCGTACGCACGGATAAAGCGCCGTTAGATTTCTGCGCCATTTCGTATTTGTCTTCATTGCGTTCGCACTGGAAACATGTCCGTAGGCACTTAATTGAATCCTTAATATTTTCTGGTGGCTCCGAAGGTTAACGCCTCGATTTCTTAAAAAAGAATCTCCATCGTTTGTCCTATTTTCAACGGTTACTACCCAGTTTGGACCTCATTAATTTACAGCTGTAAAGGACCATGGGTATGCTCGGAATACTGCTAAAATCGCATTTTGGACAACGGAACTACGTCTACATAGTTAATATAAAACAAGCCCGGTTACCTTCAACAATTTTAGGTCTGCCTTTAGCTGATTTTTATTGCAATAGAGAAATACCTAACGTGGACGAGAGTTGTAATTTCATCGAACGATCCTACTGCTTTACTGCTCACTCAAGTTCACTTATTTTTCAATAATAAAAAAAAGCGGACAGAATTGTCATTACCATTGCTTTTGATATGTAGCTGATTAAGCATATCTGCGTTTTCTCGGCTCAAATGCTTTCGTAGACCAGCGTCAGCGTCGAGTCGGTTGAGTATGTACTGCTGCATATCTCGTACAACGTTCGGTTTTCGAAGATCGTCTAAGGCGATCTGTAAAGCGATTGTGAAAATCAATACACGCGACTATCTGAAATTCTAATTTAGAGGAAGCATATAATCTCCTTATTGTGATTCCTATGACACTGATAGTAAGCTATAGTTATCCAAATGCTTTTCGTATACAAAGAAAACAGCTATTGAAGACTTTTGTATAAAAGCTTCGGTCAGATTTTTTATTTTTGGTTTTCTCTACGCCGGCCCAATTAGGTAACAAAATATAAAACACTTCAAAATACTCAATGTTTCATACTTTGAACTCTAACACTCTGAAAAACTGGTAAACACCAACATAATTGATGTAATTAGTGCGCCAGCTTGTGGGAAGAATACTTCTTATAGATCTAAATGCCTTTCTCTTCCATTCGCCTAAATCTTTTAACAAACCATCCAGATCAGTCGGTTCCAAATTCAACCTTAACCTATTTTGTTTCTTAATCCCTTTTCCTAACGTTCTGCGAGAACTTAATTAATGCGGCCACTTTACACGACCGTTTACTGCATTCAATCAGAAAATGCAAACTGATCCACGGATATCACTCTATTTAAAGCAAAAAAAAGTTAAAAGCCTTCGGTATTCGATAATCAACAGTGACTTCTAAAGTCAAGAGGGTTTTCGGAAAGCTTGGTTAGCAAAGTCAAGCTACCAATCCCTTTGGTGGCGTAGCTTTTCGATAGAGTGCAAATTCAATTAGTACGGAACGATAAAAAGAACGCGGATGAAAGGTGAGCTGACAAGTACACAAAGACCCCGTACCATACCAGACGTGAACGGCAACGCAAAAATTACTTATCCTACAGTACGTAAGGGTGAAGGTCGAACAGAATCATGTGTGATGTTTCGTGTTGATGGCGGTTTTCAAGACCAAGACCGTATTGTATCTTGCTTTCAAAATGCTAGAATGACGAAATAAGTCACGTCTATGGATTAAGAAGCTGATTGAAATACGAAAAAAAACGCACCTCGGTGCTCAGTCTCAACTACGTATTGAGTGATGAAGATGTACATAATACTTTCATACTTTACTTTCATAAAGTATGAAAGCTTGCTCGTATGTCCCTGCATCGGGAGATTACGTTACGCCAGTCATAGTTCATATGTTTAGAACAATTTTCAAAGAAAATGTTTGGACTCCATTTTTTAGATATTCCCAGCTTGTCAATTACCACTGTTTATCAATCCCAATAATTGATAGATGGGTTCATAGATTTATTGGTATTCTTAATATAAAAGGACTGCCTGTTAAGTTTATGTTTCTTGTCTGCACACTCGCGTAAATAGATAATGAATTTGAGAAAAGTCTAACTGTATTCAAATGCTCGTACAGAAGGATAATTATTCAAAAAAAAAAAGCTTGTTAGGGCTCATTAATCTAGCAACGCATTTATCACGATCTTCGAAGTGGTTACTTCAACGAGCATTTTCTTGTTGTTTTTGTTGAATGCGGCCGTTGTGCTCATAAGTAAAGACCATCCACCATAGGTATACTTAACATACAGACCGCATACTGTTGTTACCGACGCCATTGGCTTCTTCAGTCATTTCATTTTAGCAAATTCTTAAGCCCAGCGTCATCGCCTCTGTCGTTGTGATAATATAAAACCGTTCGTAATGCTAGTAACGTCAGTTACTATGTTTGCTTATAGCCGTAAATTTACGAGATATTGCTTTTAAAGCTTAGCTTCCGGTGCCACCTGTTTGCGTCTATTGATTATAGCGATACACGCGGAGATCCATGCGCTCGGTTGTTTTCAGCTGTGGGTAGAAGGTACAGATAAAGAAAAATTTGTTTCGTGTTTTTACGTCCGGTGCTGTGGTCACGTATTGCGTTAGGTGGCTAGCTCCCAACGAAAAGAAAGTACAAATTAACTGAAAAGTTCCAATATGCACTTCTGGCTTATCCAACGACGAATTTTACCTTGATGCGCTGAGTGGTTTCGCGAATGTTTCTTTAAAAAGAAACTTGATCAAATACAGTAGAGCTTTCGTCGTGGTACAACTTCCAATGATAGTTCGCGAAAAGCTTCGCAGGAAGATAACAACAAAATCAGAGATCAAAAATACAATGGCGGAGATTAAGCATAACGTGTTTTGATCTCCGATACCAGTTGCGTCTCAATGACGCACACATTTACCTTTCTTGATTTGGATACGTGTTTCGGAAGACGCACTTGATAGTGTAAGTAATTCGCAGCTTTTTTAATGAATTAATAAGTGGAACATGCGACACAGAACTGACCTTTCGGAATCCCGTGAAGAGTCGGCTAATCGTACGACTTTGGCGTCTCGCTGAACACACAAGCATTAACCACGGAGGAAATAATTGGTGGTGAACAGATAGCAGTTGGGAGATAGACTCGCTCCATAACGAATTAGCGTCACTCGAATCCACTGCCGTTGATGACCGAGCCGTGTGCGTCGAATGAGACATCAAACCGCGCTGAAATAAAACAAAACTGATTTCAATAAGATGAAACTATTTTGGCTGTTTTTTTAATGCTTTGTCCAAGTTATTCTGATTACATAAGTTATCATATAATCTTCATATACTCATTGTTCGTATATTTGGTGACATACAATAACGCCACTTCCCTTCAGCTTTTACTGTACTGTTTCTTCTCAGAAGTAATATGAAAGAAGTGAAACTTATCAAGTTATAACATGATTTACATATATTCTAGAACACAATATTAACTAAATGTCGAAAATTGTCGAAATACCATTTTGTTCAAAAATAGAAAATAATTCATTTCACATCTGTCGTCGAATTCTATTCTATTTCTAGAGTGCTTTGCCCATAATTTTGGTTGATCTTTAGGTATTTTCCAGCCCTTTGTTGCTGTTACGGCCACACGTTCTCCAGACCTTTACACCACTCGCGTTGTTTATTGACTAAGTAGTATGTCACTAGGAGAATCGCCCACACTTCAGCTCTAATGTACCAATTTTTTCCCTAATGTACGTGAGAAAATAATTGGATCTGCATGTCTGATCGGGTGGCAGGAAATATAAGCAACAATAGATGATATTAGCCCAAAGCTTTTAAAGGAATTTGTATCCAACTCAACTGAGGTGTTGTTGGATTTCCTATAAATAACGATTAGGCACTTTATAGCAGAAACAATACTGTAAGAACTAACGGAGCGATGTTATTGTGTGTCGACAAATGTATGTACGAGAAATAGAAATATTTGCCGAGAAAATTACGACCAAACACTATTAATCGAAAGTCGCTTGTTCGTTATACCATATACCGTACATACCATCCAAGTGATCACTCTTCAAACTGTCATAGTACCTGATACAATGTGACTTCATTTGCACCTGAGAATTGTTTACAAGAACCTATTACTACAACAATACACCCAGTTACCCCTAGATCTACCCACCTATAATACATGACTATCTTAGGAATCGCTTCCCAATAAATAAGACTAGCCGCTAACGACGAATCTATTATCAACACCTTTCTTGTACTCATGCCCGCTGACACCGACATCAACGTCTAGGAAGTGGTGAACATGAAGTCTTGGAATAAAGGACAAAGATGTATCATGGCACATATTAGAAGAATGACAACGCTCTACGTCCATAAAACATGAGCTCTCTTGACCACCATCTGCCTTCGAGGTGGTAGGAACAGTGTATCAGTGGCATTCCGATTGGTTGAGCCTCATCCTGGGTGGCAGTACCAGCAGCGAAAGCGTCAAAAACAGCCGTAGCAGAGGTGCGCAATAGTCGATCATTTGTCGACTAAAGCAAAAGTGTACACGACCAGCGAATTTCTCAAGTTTGCAATAAGTCGTTGCATTCGAGAATGTTAAGGCTAATAAAGGGAAAATCGTCGCTTGGGCCTCCTGCTTTCCATGAACCAACGGTAGGTGGGCCAATGTTCGCTAACAGCAACTCTGCTACCCTGGTTAATCGCAAACGCAGAGACCACTTAAGTTGATATCGAGATTTAGGGAAATGGTAAACGTGAACAATGGTTGCCAACGATATAATTTTGGCGCGCTAAAAAGGACATTCATTGGGCGCTACGCCGTGCTGGAAGCACTTTTGCCCCGTTGTTTCGAATAATTCGTTCCGAGACATATACGACAACTAAGTTAATCGGAATTATCAAATTGAGTAGCGTATATTTTGCCAAGCATTTCTCAATATAAAATAATATTTTAGAGACAGTCAAAGTACCTATATCTGTGGTTATACCATGCGCGTTGTTCTATTGAGACAGACGCAAGTATTGAAATAGCGATTGTCAGGTTGTTAGAAAAAAATCGGGCGGTAGGCGGACAGACGTGGCCTTCTCACATTTCTTAAATAAATGGATAACGAGAGTTTTATGATGCTGGATATTTTTTCCTTTTCGAGAGATTCCTGTGACGGAATGCCGCGTCCCGGAAACTATTGCAACCACAAATGAACTTCTATTAACCTAACTCGAAGTAAATGTATTCCTACGTCCGTATTTGACAATATATAATTAAAGGAGTGGCGAAATATTTTCTCTGATTATTTCTTGTTATTTATATTTTTTATTTCTTAAATATCAATATGCACATTTATCTAAATGTAGATTATTTTGTTATTATTAATTTATATAAAAACTTATTATCATTTGGAAAATAGTGAAAACCTGAGCTTACAATTACATTCGATACTCTAGACACGTCATGAAATTTAGTGAGCATGTAGCCCTGCCTGTTGTTATGAGCTGGTCCAAGCTTCCGTAACGGAGGAGGATCTACATTCATGAAGGAACAAACGGCGCTGGTTCGATATGTCGTCTTTAAAAACAAAGCTTCGATGATTAATAAACAATAATTATTCAAGTGCTATATATAGCATGTAAAAACGGGCTTTTATTTGGTAGAATACAATTTTCTATGTAAAAATATACACTAGATGCCAAGACGAATGTTTTCAGTGGTAAGACCGGAAGTAAATAGATATACAAAGATACAATAAAGTACCGAATGAAACGTAACAAGTAATAGTTGAAATGTGTTTTTCGTGAATTTGACACGGGAACCGTTGATAATGTAGCAATAATAATCGGACAACTATCAGCATCGTGCAAAATAATTATCTGGTTACAGTAATATCGGCCTGCAACCTCAACTCAGCATGTAGATAATATTCTACAAAAATATCAGTCTGCACCTTTGCTAAGTAGTCCTTGTCCACTCCAAATAGAATAGAGATACTTAATGGAATTTTAGCAGATGGATCATCAATAGCAATGACCGTTGTGAGGCAAATCCGAGAAGAATTAAAGCTTGTATTGTATCAAAATGATATAGTTCAGATAACAAACGCAGTGAAAATGCTTAATGGTGTAAAAAAACAGCGAGCTGATTGAAGATACTCCAACGGTCAGTGGGTTTACACGATACCAGTGCACCAGTATAGAGACTCCAGATCTCAATTCTGCGTGCGTGAAGCGCTTTTTACTAAGTTCAGAAAACAAATTATTTATTATATTATAGATCTGATTATTGTAATTAAATCACAGGTGCTAAGTGGTCAAGGTAGTTAAATGGGTGCCGTTTGTTATCCTTTTAATGAATTAAAGGGAGCTACTAAACAAAGTAATATCAGGTAGATATGCAAACTAATTCAAATGATTACAAAGTTGCCCCGATAGTTTCCATATTTGGTTGTAAAAGTCTAGCTATGATCAGTGTTGCGTGCGACTTAAATATCGTTGCCATTTTGCAGAAAGCACCCGTTATTGTAGGCATCGTTGCCTAATAGAGTATAATCGGAGTCGCATAATAGAGAATATTAGTCACTTAATTTCGATCCAGCAAAGAAAACTCAAAGCAGGAATATGATCATGTCTGTCTAATAAATCTGTAAGAGTATAAAATTGTAAAAAACGGCCTGGATGGGTGTACCTGGCAAAAATAATTACAGATTAGAGATACTTTCAGAATTATAGAAAAATTATAAAAAGATTATCGCTCCCAAGACCTCAAAATCTATCGTGAAAGTTTTCAAATCAAACTTAAGAGAGATTATTTAAATATTTTTGCTTGGCAACTTCATGGCTGCGAAATGTTCGCACTGTTAAAAGAAGCCTAATAGAAGCAAAAACAGCCCCATTTCGATATACATCGGTCTTGTTTTATGGTTAAGCATTGCATAGTTATTGAAAGCAAGTCATAAAAGAAGACGCAAATCTATCCAAAGATATATATAAATATATTAAAGTAATGATGGGTAAACTTTAGTCAAAAACAGAACTTCAACAATATAAGAGACTAATATTTTGGGAAAAAATAATGAAATCATGTTCGGCTTAAAATTAACAGATTTGTTGAAAATGAGTTCCCGGGCCCATTTCCATAGGGAGAAAAAGGTTAATTATTATTCATTGAGGTTGACCACTATTACTATATAAAAACAAAACAGCAACCGAACTCGAATAATAATAATAATATAATAATAAATAAACTAATATGGCTAATAAAACTAAAACGGTAAAAATGGCAAGTAAAAAAGTCTCTAAAATATGAAAAGTACAGTTCTAAGCTGCGCGCCATTATAACATCGTTGTCTTCTGGTGGACACGCGTATTAGTGCTGCAACCATTATAATAACATGCTACATAAATTAGCGAAATTAGCCGGCGGTAATCTGCAATGTGATGGGTTTAAATCGAGCCAAAGCATAAAATAGGAGGATAATATCATTTGAAAAGTCTTCCAGGAGATGCGAAACGGTAAAAAGTGACCTCGGATATTCTTCCGGGAAAGTGAAGCTTACCGTGGAGGCATCAGCGCTTGTTAAACTTCAATCAAGCCATAATGTCAATAGTAAGCGAATAAGTTCTGTAATAAAAAGTTCTTTAACTAGCGCTCGCTTGCGACTGAAATATAGTATATAATTATGATGATAGACACGGTTGCGCAAAAAGATGTCGATGATTAGTATATAATAGCAGAACCGATATTGCAGCACGAATAGTCCGAGAAATCAAATTGAAGTAATCACGTATGGAGATAACTAGCGGAACTCATTAATCGAATATTACTTGTGATTGGCGCAGTACAAATTTGTGTGTAACAGCGCAACCCAACGACGTTTTTGCGCAATGATAACGTGTTCATCTACGGAATGCGGTAATCTGGGTTTGAAGTAGGCAGCAAAACACTCCGTTACGCGCTGGGATTTCCTTTAAAATTTCACCAGCAGTACAAAAATATTGTATTTTTTTTTTAACAATCTAGTAAACAAAGACAAAAAAAGTTACTCAAATTTATCGATTCTCGCCGCGGTTGCCTCTATTACTTGAAAGCATTCGTTAATCCGCGGTATTTGAATCATGGAAGTGGGAAGTTCACTGCAACAATCGACGATCGGAGTAAGAAAAACGCGGGGAGATGTTACCAAATGCCAGCAGTGATAAACATCATAATGTTCGTTACATTGAACATTAAACCTATCACTACTGCTCAGTTTGACCGTTTTAAGCACAGTGAGAATAATGTACAACAAGCGTCATTACATTTCGTATTAAGTAAGGCTCCACGCAAGCAATTATTGAAGCAAATGTACAAGGTAAGCCATGTAGGTGAGGATAAACATGTATAGATCCTATACAAACGTTGAGTTGCAAAATCTTACAACAACAATAATTAAAAACATGTCCTAATTAATTATTGACAGCTGTGTATATAAACGCATTTTATTTATTAATTGATGACAAAACCGTGCATTATATAATTTCTTACTAAAAAAGGTAGACACTTCTGCGAAATATACCGTCATAGTATAATGAATTGAAGTATTCATTCTTTTTACGTTTCTAAGAAAAATCGCCCACGCAAATCCAACTATGTTAACGCAGTTCACAAACTTCCTCGCTTTACGAGCTCCTGGCTAAGCCGTATCTACATCATAATCCCTCTTACCTCGGAATCGGGCCCTGTTTCATCAATGCCATCCACAATAATTACGCAGCACATTTCTGGTGGCTCCGTCTCCAGAAGTGGGAACAGTACTGCTTTTTTAAAGGCTTCATCTGGAAATCGTTCAACTTCAGACGGCTGCAGCACCGCCACAACTTCCGGATTTTCAAGCCGATCCCGATAACCAGTTAGAAGTGGGCAAGCGCTCAGCTGATCGACAAGATCGAGAATAAAATTGGATAATCGAAGCGAGCTAAGCACCTGAGGATCACAGTGATAGTTGGCAATAAGCCGTCTATTTAGTTCTGCTTGCCTCGAGTCCGACTCTGAAGGGCGCGCGATTTCTCCTAGAGCCGTTGTCTTGCCGCTGCCAGGTCCTCCAACGAGTAGAATTCCGGACGCCTTAGATTTACCGGCCTCGATGCAATGTAGTATTTTGACAAAGAGCCATTCACGTGCGAGCAACGACCTATCGGTCGGCTCCTCAAACATCGAATCAGTTAACGAATCGTCCATAATGATTTGGAACGTTGACCACAAACTAGAACTTACAATGTGAAGCGGTGCGAAAGTCAACCAATGGAGCGCCAGAGCACTTCACATTTGCGAGGCGTGTAGTCCCCACGTAACCCAAAACGTTCTCCCCCTATAGGGGTCAAGTGACTTTAACAATACGCTGCTAAAAGTAACCCGACTAAAGCAGGCATGGTGATGGGGCTACTTTTCTCCTGGCAAGATACTAACAATCTTAAACATCTTCCTTCATCTGGAGAGCACCACGGCTCCAGCTGCCGGTCCCTTTAATGGTGCTCTTCTAGAGTCAATTAGCAGCGTCACATAGCAAAAACATCCTCGCACAAGGACTCACAGAAAACTGCGGTTGGATACCACACACAGAACCATTGGGTATGTTCTTCGTTGTTCCTCCATGACACCGTTTCACCAACAATCACTGTCTTCGGTGCTAGATCGAGACAGCATGTAAGCAAAGGCAAAAATCCTTATTGCGCTATATGACATTCATCATGGCACGCCGCGCCAGTCCAGAGCACTTGATTGATTCATCACCATAACTAATAAATACTTTCTCGTCGACCATATATTCGTCGTTTGTTGTTCTCTTTGCAATCCAACCCCCATCCACACACATAGACTGGTCCTCACACAGACACAGAACGGTCCTCTATACACGGTCGACACAGGGGAGAAAGTAGATACAGGCAGTGGGCTTCCTCTAGAGTTACTGCTACTACCGCTGCTAGTACGACAGCTGCTCCTAGATACTGTATGGGTAAGTGATACTATAAAGGTTTACGCTAAACCCACTCTTCCAAGGTTTTACTCAGAATCGACCATAACAGAGCGAGACTCTGGCGGCTGCCATGCCGCTGAATGGATGAATGCATTTGTATTTTACTTCAAAAGTGGGAAACGGGCGGTTAGACAAGAAGATAACTTCGAGAAGAACAGGTAGGATGATATCATCGGGTGATAGTGATACCAAGTATTGAAGTAAACGAGGAAATGATGAAACCAATTGAAAAGATATGACACAAAAGATTAAATCTTGTGAAGGTTACTTGTAGGAATAAAGTGATACAAAGTGTTAAATTTCAGCTAGAAACAAGAAGTGTAGATGGCTAATGCTAGTCGAGCGTAAATGTATATATAATACCTTGGAAAACAAATTCAAATTGTGTTTCAAACGATAGAAAGTATGACTGGCAGTAACGAAGGGTAGAAATGGTACATTTAAAAGTTTACGAATTATTTGTAACACGTGTGTGTTTTAGGGTGACAATCATTGCAGTAATGATCGCATATAACTGGAGCAAGTGATTTGTCTAATAAGAAGATTGCAACTTTATTATGTATGGAGCAGCAAATAGTCGGATTGGTGCAACGTTACGACAAAGATGATTGTCGCTCTTTTTTGTAGTAACAATTAATAGCAGAAATTTTTAGATGAACCTCTTTACCCTTTTATGAGCATTGTAATAGGCTGAAGGGAAGTTGGGCAAATGCTATTTGATTATTGCTATTTGCGTATAACTGTCGAATATAGATGAACCGAAGTTTCAAAAAAAAAAAAATTATTAAAAGTTTTTCTGAAAAATCCTCTTATCAGACATCTTCTTGGGGGTAATCAATTGAACCTGGATGCCTGCGAGAGGTAACGGCTACTCAAAGAGCTTACTCTTAAAGCAAAGTTAGTATTTAATCCAAAATTAATATTATAGATACGATTGAAAAATTAGTAATATTAATGTTTATTTTAGTCTCATACAGTGTAAGTATTCTCGTCGTATGTAATGTTCTGATTACATTTTGGCTCAGAGCATCATCCTCAAGTTTACTAAGGCGACAGAGCGTTAATGCTAGGAAAAGAGGTCTCAGCTAACTTTAACTAATAATACATTGTTAGCACCTCTTCAAACATTTCCATAGGATAAATTAGCCCCATTTGGCATAGAAATGTAATGGGTAAACGACATTGATACAACGCTAGAAATACAGTGCATCTGTGATTGTTGGACTAAAATACTGCAGCTAATAAGAAACAGGAGTTCTAGAATATTGTTTACTGTTCTTGAGGAAACAAATAATGGGCCTAGTCGATAAATGAACTTTTATTCAGTTGTCAACACCCATAATTGACATTCGAATATATTATGGGTGTCAAATCCAGAAATTTAATACATGTATAGTACTCTTGTAATAGTCGCCTCTAAACGATTAATTTCTGTTGTAGCGAAAGGTTTAAAATATACAAAATATTCGGACCGACTGAAACCCTGCGGAGTTCGCATAGCTCTGCGCGCAAGCTAAACTCACGATAACTGTATTTGATACCAACCGTTTTAGAATAGAAGTAGAAGTCTCTCAAATTTCAGAAGCAACTTCGTTACAAATTCTTCATACTGTTCAATTGACCGGAAATACCCGTCCCTATCTGTCGGTGCTTGAAGCCCAATTTTCTAAGTTGTCCTAACCAACCAAATTTCATGTCGCGTCCCCAAGTTCCACTAATAGCATGTCGTTTTCGGCTTACCAGATTTAAATTGTCGACGTACATTTTTTCGCGAATACAGTTTTTGCCCTTAGCGTACGAAAAAAGAAGTTTGTCCTTAGGAGCTGGGGCCTAGAACTATCGGCGTCGGGTTTACCGTTTTGTACGAATAGGAATTTTTTTCTGAGCGGAATCTATTGGCTTGGCGTTAGCTATCACGTGACTTTCAATGCAATGGCTGATGAAATGAGGAAGCTTTTTAAAAACTGCATGCAGCCAGCGTACCGAAACAGATAATAGAATGGCGATATGCAAAGTTGACGAAGGATATTATTCGAATTTAGAAGTTCGAGATTTAAGTTGAAAATGGAATACAGCAAAAATTAGTGTATGTAGATAAAGTTGACCATAGCCACTGTTGTAGAGGGTGTATCCTGAAATATTTCAAGTAACATGACAGAACATCCATTTTTAGTGACGTTACAATATCTACTCAGTATATACTTGTATCAATTGTACGTTATTAGACTCGTCAAGTAGATACTACGAGAATCTAGAGCATCGCATGATTGCCTCCTGTTGAAACAGTCCCTTTCCTAAGAATAACACTTGTCGTTCATTATATACCTAGTCAGAGGTCAACATACAGACATGTTGAACAGGCATCCAATAATAACGGTACTATTCAAGTCGATTCTATCAATAGAAATTTTCTAAAGACGGGTATAAGCTACACTTTGAAGTGAGGTATGGCAGTTTTCGTTGAATCATACAATGAATTGTAGGCAGTTCATTACAATAGCGGACGCCGCTTTTCAAAATGAGATCTACATACCCGAATATCCTTCGATGCCCTCTTTGAATGCAGCTTTTTAACTAGGAATTTGTACTACAGTGAATTATTCCTTTCGTTTTTTAGAATTAACTAACGACCAGCGTGATCGACCGAAATTTTAAAAGGTCGAAGTCGATTAAGCTGGTCGTCATGACTTAAGTTAAGGTGATAACACTAATTTTTTCACTTTGTATTTAGTTGCTTTCCGGAAAAATGTGAATACGAGTTTTACATCGACTAGTAATCATGGACATTTTCTCTTGAAGCAGTTGGAGAAATTAACTTGAAGTTATATTTAGGTCGAATTTATGTCTTTGACCCCCTAAACTGGCTTCTAGGATGGACTGATGCATATCGTACATTTTTGTCTATATAACGCATATACTGAAATTGCTTTTGAGGTCCAAACTCCTCCAATAAACCATTATTTTATTTTTAACTATTAAGTTGTACGACGGATCTTATAATCTATGCGATTGAGTAGGTACTGTCTTAAAATGATAAACTGCAGTTGTATGGTCCTCTAGTAAGAAGCAACATTCATGAATTGCTCGTTCTACTTTAAACGTTTAGAGAACCCGTGTAATTTCTCTATGACAAATTAGTCACTTTGAAGTATCCTGACGCAATGTTTCCTTCCATTTCTATGTCACATCAACCATATTCTTATTATCGATCAGCTATTATCTATAGTGGGGAAAAATAAGCTACTGCGTATGAAAAATTAAACAGGAGTTTCAACTAAGGAAAGCAGATTAAGGTATAATTTGTGATCGTTCCGAGTTTCTAAGTGATTTTCAAAAAATCTGCTTTTTCTTTACGTCCGTTTGAATAAAATCGACAATGCAGCCCAGTAATGCAATGGTGCGCTCGTAATGTGTTGGCATTGACGGGGCTTAAAAAAAGACGTCTTCGAAAGTTTGCGACTGGCTCATGAAGGGTTCCACCTAAACAAAGCATTAGACAACGTCAAATTTGTCGGGCTGTACACGAACTTGGTCAGCGCGACCTTCGTAGACCTGTCTGCATCTTTTACATTTGATATTGTCTCACAACACTTACCTCGAATGATCAAAGGCTGTTTGTTTTAAAGAAAAAAAAAGCTTATCCAAAGGCCGACGACTTCTCTGTAACTTAATTTGCTCATTACCCGGTCCGTAAGCACTTTTACATTTTGTATTGGATTTGCATACGTTGCTGAGTTTGGCGAAGTCCAACTACGTTTGGGTAGCCAGGCTCTGTAATCGACACGTTCCTCAAAGCAACCCGTGCCACTCTTGGGGTTCCATAGAGGCCTGTCTACGTTCCAGCAGAGTACACGTTAAAACAAGAATTCAGCTTAGCAACTCGCTTGTTTATGTTCACTGCGCGATGGATTCAGCTGTCCACGTTAAAACAAAGACTAACAGTATGCTAATATATCCTTGAATAATTGTACTTAGATTGAATTCTTTAAGCCTAAAATTTGCTTACAGTGCATTATAATTAAAACAACGATATGAATCCAAAGAATACATCTATTTATTGAAGTTTACTTCATTGTATGTGATTGTTTCAAACGATGATTTTGTGAGAAACCTTCACGTTTACCACGCACTAACCAAATCTTAACAAAAGTAGTTCTGTTTATCAACCCATTTGTATTGCATAAGCTTACACGTGACTATGGTGTGTTTGATAAGTATAAATGAGCAACATAACATCTAAATATTCATTTACAAGATTTACAGCAGTAGTGAGTAATTCAAAGTCATCTCACTGCGTCGCGGGCCTGAGGAACTGCCCTTGAGAAGCTTTAACGCTAAGCGCTTACGGCTTTTTAAATGCTTTTACCAAATACAATTTGTAACCCTGCGGGGTAGTGCAGATTGGGATACGTTTATAGTATTCTACCAGATCATTAAGATGGAAGAACTTTCGATGACCTGAAAAGGACAGGAGAGTAAAGTCTCTTAGCATTACGTGCATAAGAATGAATTCCTAAAGTGTTTATGTTTTTCTATAGGTAATGAACGATCGTGTATAAGTACAATGGATAGTCCAATCGGACATTGATATTGATAGGCTCTCGCGACTTGGCGAGTCTGATATCTGGACGATCTTATCAAGAATGTATCATAGGCTGATTACCGATATTACGGCGGGATAATTTATGCACCGGGTATTATGCATTCTTCTAGTAAATAAATGGTAGGACAGGATAAATGACAATATGACAATTTCATAATAATTAACATTGAATGACAAATTGAAGCATGCCATAGTCAGTTCAACTTAGATTCTCAATTTCTACATGAGAACTGGTCCGTTTGCTTAGGACTTCATCTCTCACGTAGCCTCGAAAGGCTAATAAATATACAAATAGTCTCGGACATCAGCCAACCAACGAAGTAAATGCTAAGCAGCGATATACTATCGTAAGCCGTGTGGCTTATGACTTCACTCCGTTAAAACCAAACAGCCTCGTTGATATGCTATTTGTGTAACAGGACGCTTTCCAACATACCCTGGTAACGGCCAGCCATGTCAAGGTCGTCAGCCGTTACTTCACATTCCCCTTAAAATTCGTCTCCTCTGTTAGAGAGGTCCGAAGCGCTCCCGCATGGAGTTGCTCATGCTTCGGATCAGTCTTTTGGAGTTTTCTCAAAAAGTACCTCAAACTGGTACCAGAGAGCTCTACTGTGAACGAATTTCGTAATGCTTCGACATATGCCCGGTTGCCAAACACTTCTATGAATACAACTCTCTCTGACATTGTAGAGAAAGACGTGGTGATAATAGATTATGGATTCACGCTTATTTGCTATTCAAGATGACAGCTTTTGCTGCCCACTGCAGAGAAACAAATTCGTAGGGGAATACGCAGGACCCAGTATAATAACACGAAGACAAGCGTGGCCAAATTGGAAAAAGATCAATACTTATTAAAACAGTTTCCCGACAGCGAAAGACGTTGTCAGGAAGACGAGACATTCAAAGAAAACTATAATACCAATACGCACGTTCTGAAAAATAGTTGTGTTGTGTTTTTGGCTAAAATTGAGGATTGAAAAGTTGATATTGAAAACACAATATCGGAAAGTAATGACACTATGATATAACCAATGAATTTCGCCTTGGCACATGATGATGCAGGCGAAATGAGCCCAGTACGTACAACTTCCAGCAAATTTTAATTTAATACACATATCTAACCGCAATAATCTAAATACGTTTTTTCAGTTGATATACAATATACTTGGGCAGTCATAAGTACATCACGTACTCACCAATGTGAAAAGATTCAATGTTTTCTACGTGAATCAGGAAGTGCCTGTTACGTCCGGGACCTCGTACGGTCAGCGACAGGTCACTTGCACTGCTTTCCGAATTTCGAACAAGAAAATCCCCCACTGAACCGAACGCATTGAATAGAACCTACATTAAATAATTGAGCGCAAGACAATTGATTCCACAATAAGAAGTCATATCAGTTATAAAGCACGGAAGAAATTTCAAAGATCAAACTTACGGTCGTAGAATGGAAGAAAAATTATTAGTACTACTATAGTATCACTTCAATAATGTAATTACTATACATAAATTAATTTCACAATTTTTACGAAGCACATCTGACCTGATAAAAGCTCCTCTCAAACAAACGGTTTCACACTAGTAATCATCGTTACACTGCGTGTGTCTAATAAATGCAATAGCAGGTTGGCGATACGTGGAGCAGGATATGTGGCACTTTTATCTAATGTCAGCTACTCGATGCGAAATGGCAAAAACGAAAGGACTAATATACATTTACCGGGATAGAGAATGGATACATTTAGTGTAGAGGAATATAAATAATGCATCTGCAGGTATCTTGACATATACCGTACATAACCCTAAGTGTTTTTGCTAAAATTTCCTAAATGCAGTGACTGTACGGGTTTCCTTTTTTTCAACTATCCGTTGGCTATTGATTTCATTGTCATACTCACGTCAGCGTATGCTCGAGAAATCGAACCAAAGAACCAGGGCTGGTGTTGGTATTCCATGAAATTAACCCTGCCTTTTCCATTAGCTGCAGAATCCTGATTCAAGGTCCAACTCAAGAGCGGTGGGTTGCCCGACCCTGTCGATGTCTCGATAGACTGTAAATAGTTGATGGGAACCAAGCCTTCTTGGCCGAGACAGTTGGCCGCTAGCAGCCAATTTGGGTCCCCTTGGAAGCGTTCAAGTATAGTAAGCCTTTCGCCCTTGCCGAACGACAGCTCCTCGGCTTGTCGAGCCTGGGCCACCACAGAATGCCGTTGGACGCCACATAGTAAAATCAGAAGAAGATAAATGGATCCCTGCTTATACAAAGTTTAGATCCCATCCGCTTCTCGAATCAAGCAAAATCGTATCAAGGTGATTAGAAGTTATGAGGATTTATCCACAGTTCCAATATTATGATGAATTCATTTACTAAAACTAAACCGCGCAGATGAGATAATGATACATATATAAAAACGGATAGAAAATTACTTATATGATAGTATAGAATTCGTTTGATAACATTAAAAAGGTTCAAGTCAACGGCAAACGGTTGTTATAGCATTTAAACAACATGCAAACTCGCTGTTAAGTACCTAAGTAATTGGCAATTTTCATCGTATTTTAATCTTTTTGTTAGACGTTAAATAGTTTACAATACATTTATTGGCCATGTCGGACATCGAAGGCTTAATAATAAGAAAAAAAAATAGTGACGCCTGCGTATACTATGTGAGACCGTACAATATCTGTCAATAAGTTATTAGCTATTGTTAAAGACATTTGAACTTCTAGTCTTTACTGTACATATAGTTACAGCTTAAAATATCGTAAAGGGCATTTGCAAATATCCATAGACGCACTTTGTTTTGTGTTGAGAGCCAATGTTTTAGGTTGAACAAATGCCTAATTGCAGAAATACGGGTTTTAATATACCAAAAGCATACAAAAGTAACTTGAACTTTGTTATGGGAAGTTATTTACAGGAATAGGTTTAAACTTTTACTTAGCTATTCTAATATCGTTTATTGTATTTGATCAAACTAAGCTAGCTGGCAAACGAACATCTTTTGTACTTGAATATAAATCTGCGCAGAGAGAAACAAGTTTAAAACACTAGCTGTACGTTTGTGAGAGTTCTGCACACCCCACGCCAAACTTTTTGTACAATGGTAGTGTGTGACATCAATTTTTTCCTTCAAGAACCAAAAAATCACCTCAAACTGAATACATATCATTTCTCTATGCTTGCTAATCGCCTTATGTAGTTCAGTTCTCACTTCGATGGCAACACACTGTAAATACGTGAGTAGCTTCTAGTACCCATCTCTCTTTATTTTAATAACGATGCTGCTATTTACAACAATTTAGCTAATATCACTTTAGAACATAATGTATACAAATATAGCTAATTTCTGTTAAACAGTTGGCAATTTTTGCAAAAGAATAAAGAGAGGAAACAGTTTTACTTCTGCCAGAGAAAGTAACAAACGCTGGCACTAGAAATTTGAAATAAACGGATATACCTTCCCGATCCGAAGAACCCTTCCTCAATGCGACCAAGTGGCTAGAAAGTTTTCGGCATGGTAAGTAATATTCTAATAAGATAATCTCAGCAAGATACAGACTTGTTTTTGGCTGGTCAGTGGCGCGCTATCGATAGAACGGTCAAGTCTTTGAAAGAGCTCTTTGTTTCAAGAATCCGTTAACCATTTTTCATTGTTTCCGTAATCAGATTCTTTCGCATTTTCCATAATTCGAAAGCAGATTTTTCACGGTCTTCCCGCTCATGGAGCTGTGGTGACTGTAACGTTAGCGAAACATATCTGCTTGGCGGAAACCTATTTTTGGGTATACCGGCTAGAGCCCACATCCTTGATAGAGAACGCTAACTGATCAAAGCTGTTTCTTCTGGAAGCCGAACCATTAGAAAGATTCGCGAGGTACTTATATGAGCGCCCATTATACGTAGGCACACCTTTATGACTTCGATAAATGTATCGATCTTAACCCTTCTCGGGATTCAAGACTCCGACGGACTCTAGGAAATATCACCACTAGGTATAATGCCATACTGAATAAATAATGATGCATTCTACGAAAAATTCATGTACACTCTACAGCCCTGTATTGTGAGAAAAATTTTGGAACTATTTGCGTACGAGGACTCTATCTTATGCCTCGTATAAGACGTCGCTTTTCCTCTCTTAGTTATCTTGATCGCAGTTGACCCCCTTTCGAATCACTAAACTGACCGAGAGATCAAAAGTCGCCGCACTGTAATCTCTTGAATTTCCCCCGCTACAAACCGCAGCATCGTCTAAGCACCACACCTGTGGCTGCATATTAATCGATGTTTGGCACCGCTAATATTAGCGGATCCACCATAGATGTCGCACTACACCGTGACTACTTTTAAACTTTTACACAGCAAGTTTCACTGACATAACCACCGATAGCAGCGGTTCTGCATCTAGTTGCTTAGGTCACTGAACTACTCGTCGGTCCGGTCAATACTCTTGCTTCCAGTGGTGCAGAAAGGAGGACGCGATCCTGCAAGGAAGTTGGTTTATTAGCTACAGCCGCGCATCCGCAGTGTCGACTATGGTCGCAAAGGAATACGGGATGTCAGCTGAATCGACTTGCTTCGGTACAGTGCTCCAATGCTCGCCAGCATTTCTACCAGCCGATTTTGACGAACACTTTCTACTCGTGGGACAAAGTTGGAGATTGGACAGAGAGAGCCGTCACGATCCTTGCGCATTAAACCAACAAAACGCCAGTACATTACCGACTTCAAGACACTTCTGACTTTTACGGACCGAGTATCCACATAAAAAACACATAGTTAATGTTTGTCAACCAAACATTGGTCTACTATTACCGACAAATTTGGCACGAGTACGTTTTTCGCTATGACACTATTTCGTAGCCGCTGCAAAAACACGCACATTCATTGGCCCATCATGAAACGCTTACGCGTACACGTCGCTACTCTGAGCTCCAGCGAAATCGCTCTTTCGATACGACTGGTCAGTCCCACATCGACTTTGTTGCCGTGGCTGAAAGCTTCGCTAACGACGATTGGGAGTTCGGGTACAAGGAATATTAACGCTTCCCTGACTGGCGCCTGGCCTAGTTCGCATCGATGCATGAGTATAGCTAGTTTATATCCCAAGTGCTTCTCGTAGACACTGTTGAGACAGATCGACCAGATTCACACTGAGTAAAAACTATATCAGTTTCGTAAGGTGTAGCTTACAATACCATCGAATACATGATCGGATAAAAATAGATTTCATCACATCAAGTATGCCCAATGTAACTACCAAACCTTGTGGCAAATAATATTCATAAAGCGTTAACTCATCCGTTTGACCCCTCGTAAAGCCTAGTTTGCCACGTTGCTTTCAGAGATAGCTCTACACATTGTACGCATTCACAAATCACTTAATCCAATTCACCTATGCTCCTGTTATTTGAAGTCATCTCTGAACGTTTAAAAGTTGTTGCCTATTTCACTAAACTGGGTCAACCTTGTAGGCGGTAATTGGGCGATTTCTGCTAGCCTGTTTAGGGATTGGCTGACTGGTTGTCATCTACGTTTGATGTACCACGATGACCATTTCCATGCTGATGATCACAGATGACCGGATAGCTTTTAGCCGTCGGTTGCGGCTACTTCCTTTACTCGAGGCGCATAATGACGACAGTACGTCTCAATTCTTGCCTTTAACTCGATTCTGTTGGTAGGTGCATTCGACGCGTTGGCCGAAATCGTTATCAGTAATCAACTGATTTTACATACCCAGCAAAGTCGCCAAAGTCGACTTTGTCATGTAGCTTCTTAAGTCTATCCTCTTGCCTATTGTATAAATGCGACCCACATGGTAAGATTGATATTAATACCAAGCGACCAGGACTTAAGCCCTGCATTTGCGAGTGCAATTAACTGTCTCTTTTATTAATCTCCTGAGACCTGTGTTGCTGTTTTCCACTATTCTGATTCCAATCACTAATCGCTGCATACGTAAGGCTGCTTTGCTATAAAGTTCGGGAAACATTACGAACCATGATGAAAAACGAGACGATTAGGTAGAACCACTATTACCAGGTTGACTTCGATATTTCTCCACGTATTCTAACAGTAACTAGTGTTTCAATAACACCTTGTTTTTAACTTGTCCTTTGAGAAGGGCTTACTTTTAACAAGTCCTTGGCAAAGAACCAGGGCCACGCTTGTCAGCATGCCATTGATCGTAATGTGCAGGTCGGCCACGGTCAACCTTCAATAAATTCTGTTATGGAATAACAACGTCAACTTGAGCAATTCGCGCACGCCAACGCGGCCCAGGGATCACTGAGCCGCCAGGCTAAAGAAACTCTTAGACTCCTCATTCAGGCTCCTGTGCGGTCAGAGGTGACAACTATTTACTACCAGCCAGAAACACAGATTGATGCAAAAAAAAAAATTCATTTTCAACAGAGAATGGCTCAATACCTAACGATCGATCGGCAGCTTTTTTGCAGCTTACCTGCATGAACGTCAATGTAAGATGTTGTAACTTCCCGTCACCACCCTGAAGTGTAAACTCAAATATACGCAACACTTCCTCTTCCTTTTAGGAAATGAGTCAGTGACACGTGCCTAATTGTGTATAACTAAAAGCTGCCTACATGAGTAAAAAGGAACTTGACATTTTAAGATATGGGATACATTATGAAGTTCACGGTGAGCGTCGATTTTCAATGGATCGAGAACCACGGAACTCACATGCATTTAAAAAAATTTCGTTCTCTGTAAACGAGTACAGTTTATTCAGAAATAAAGAATATTTGCTGTCTATACGAGGATGCATCCGGATTGAGAAATGGCGTTCTCGATCTACTAAGGCATACATATTACAGACGTAGATTTGATTGTTGACGTTATCGTTTGTTAGTAGTAGGTACGGTGTACATAGGATACGCTGTCCGAAGCGAAATAACGGGCAGCCCTTAAGTGCGCGATAGCTAAAAACTGTACATGTTGCACCAGCCAAAGTTCGTACTTATGGGGGTACTAAATTTGCGCGGGCTGACCTGCAAAATTAACAATATTCGACCCTGAACATTGCATTGACATTTTTTTGGTAGGTGAATTGAGCTCGATTTGTGAAAATGCAATTATCTAAGACTAACACGGTGTTTCGACTTATTTATTCTGTAATAGTGCTGTCTGCGATGTCGAATGTTTATTATATATCGAGTTCATGTGGGCAGGAAAGTGGGTTTGTAATCTTACTTCTATACTCTGTTGTTGAATATTTCAAGGGTAATTTTTTTTCGAGTAATTCAGCAAGATAGGCGTATATATATATATATATATATATATATAGAAAGTCAATTTTTTTGGGGTAGGATCGTTTAGTGAAATCAACAAGTTAAAGCAGCTAGAACAAGTTTCAAGGGTGATTTGTTAATGTTTATTTCCACCAACTTCGTAAAATGCATTATTAACGGTTAATTATATAAGAAGGAAATAGCTACTAACCTGGAATGCGAATTGTGTTACTACCGTCTCAGTTACGGGTTCGAGTCTAATAGGAAGGCTGCCCGCTCTTCTATCGAGCGTAGGCCAACCTGAGTTAGCGATAAGATCGTATTTACCGCCTCTTGTCATCTCTGGATTCATATTGAACGCCCTCGAATATCGTTTGACACCGCTTGATTCAAGCGATCCTACCAAGCTGACGTACGGTCCTATCAACGGAACAGGAACCTGTGATTAGACAGCGATCAAATTAGCAGTAATACATAAATCGCTTGTTATACCAGCAATGTATCTACATTTCATACATTAACAAAATAGGTACGCTATTTTCACAGAACTACAGATGCGTGATTGCCGTCAGTGTGGCAATGTCATAAAATGCTTAGGCCTCCAAATTCCAGGGACAGGCATGGTAGCGAAAATCAACAGCTGACGAAGTTTGCCCACAGCTGCACAAATTGCAAAGGACAAATATACAAGAAAAAACAACTAATGCATAATAAATGTTAAGGCTCCATTCTTGTTTTGTAGTGTGGTTTTACCGCGTACTGATTCAGACGTCATTGAATCATATATAAAGTTCGAATACGCCCCAACAATATCAAGGCTGCACGGCACCACGAACTGACCAAGATGCCATAATGGGGTAAAATAAAACCAGCGATAACTTTTCATTTTTTCGGCCCCAAAGTTTTAATCTAGCACGCAAATATGAGCCATACCGCAAACGTACCGGCCATTGCTGATTCGAATCTTAACATCGACTCGTAATGTTCTTAATGCTCACATAGCTCTCCCTTACACACTATTGACAAACCTGTGCTATACAGACTGTATATAACTATGTCAACTTCTTGATTGGGCTAAAGGTGCCAGATCGTTATAGTAGTAAAGAAGGAAACATAGCGGGGCGCATTCAGCGGCTCAACCCTCACTCCTTATAAAAACGTATAAGAGACTTATCTAAACCAATTCAAAGAAAATTATGATTAACAACTACTATTTCAATTTTGTTTTTTGTTGAATTCGTAATAAAATATCTGTTAAATCCGTTGAACCCAAACATTTTTTGAAAAAAATTTCAACACATTTTATCGTTTTAAATTATGTAAAACAGGGACCCTTCGGAAATGAAGGACCAAAAGCAACAACGTTGAGAAACATGTTACTAACAATATAAAAAGGTTCATTATTCTACGAGTTCCTTATTTATTTAAACAAGACCAGACGGCAGGGTCATAGCCCGTAGTGAAAGCTTCTTAAAGATCGCGTTTCTGCTATCTACTCGTTTGGCAGCGTTGTTAGGAAGCGTGCACAATAGCTACCTATGGTGCAAGTGCAGGCAACCCGACCAACTGCCGATGACACTGATATATTACTCAGGAATATTGCAAAGCCTTTTAGCGATGTTATTCATTTTCCCTGGCCGATGCTAAAGCTGGAGTGTTTTATAGCCTCCGCTGCGGCATGCCTTGGACACTACCATGGAAATAGTGTGTTGTACGCGTTCGCCCTATAGTCATGCAAGCAGGATATATCTATCTTCTGGCATCCTTGGTCTTCTGGTAATATTTTCTCCTTTTCAAGAGGACATTTCTCCTCTTTGTCGCAAAGTCTTTGGTGAAAATCCAATGCTTCATCAGCTGACGGCTGTCATCGGTTCTCGTGATCCTTCCCCTGTATCCTTGCGCCTTTCAATGGGACCAAACTACCCGTGTGCCTCTCGCGCGGTTTTCCTTGCCCTTTCACCAATCTAAAAGGACCACGCCTTAAAGGATGCGCGTTTTCAGCCGAATGCCCCACTGCGCGGATTCATCTCGTTGTTAAACGTCTGCATAACCTTCTACGACTCCCTGCAATTCTCCACGACGGCTGCGAAACTGATACCTGTATTCTTCTAAGCCTGATCGAGGTTTAGAAAGGCTGTCAGGCAACGCAAACAAGTCTGTATGGTTTGCGAGCATATGAATGACATCGCAAAAGCACTGATAGGAGCAAACTGATTTTTTAAGTTGTGCTATAGTACGAACTGACCAATTTCGTTTTTCCGTAATTATAAACGTTTAGAGCTTCAATTTGAAACTTGTAACTAAAGAAGGGTCGTAGCAAATTGGAAAAGGTCCAGATTAAATACGAAATAAAAATAAATAAAGAGGAGCAGTTTATAAATGTCGTATAGGTAAGGTAGATTTTTCTTTAAACTATCCTATAATTAACAGGTGGGTGCTACTATTATACAAAGCAAACTCAAACGGTACTCGTAATTGTCCAGCAGATCCCTCGGCTCTAATATGAAGAATACTTAATCCGTGGTCGGAAAACGTACAGCCGACAACTTTTGCCAAGAAAATTTCAACAAAAAATATACTCAAATGGCGTGTTTGCGGAAAAATTATTGTGGTAAACTTTTTACTTTTACATACAGGCAATCAAGTATTACTCATGACTGTACGTTCCTTAGAGTATGTCCTGAACTCTGCTGTTCAATTTAATCAGGCCTCGTTCACGTTCTAATGTGAGATTATGCCGTAGTTTTTTTATTGTCGACGATGTTCAGTCTTTGGCGAGCCTGCGCCTTTTCCAGGATGGCGTTCACGTGGCTTGCAGGAAGCCAGCCTCCTGTGATGGAGCCTCATTTTTTCGTCCTGCCTGCTTCTTGTCCAGGCCACCAGCCGTCTGTGCACGTCTTCAACACAGCTATTAGCTGGCCTTCGTGAAGTGGCAACTCATCTTCCCGTGTTGCAGTAAAGTTGAATCTGATGTAATAGATATTTCTAAAGTATTTGTAATCTCTGGAACGATAGCGATACTGAATAGTGCGCTATGTGCTATGGAAAGCTCAGGCCATATTTGAACGCATTTTTCATTAGGGGGATAACTGCTCAACGGAGCTGTTATAGGCTGTTTACATGTTGCAGTTTAGTATATAGTCTCTGATCTTTCCAGAATTGTTTATACTATTTGAAGTATAGCAGACAGATGAATACAGTTTACCATACATTATGCGATTCGGCGGTCAAGTTGTTGGTTCTCAATCATGCGTGTTATAAAGAGATGTCGTTAGCGAAGCAGTAGGAGAGTGTTCTGACTTTCAATAAAAGGAACATACGATGATTTAGTTCTTTTAGAACGAGATTTGTTCCGGTGAATTGAACCTACTATATTTGCTATATTTTCGCGTGATTCAACCGCTCGCTAAACAGAAATCGCGACCAATGTTCTGCTGTCGCGGAAAAACCGTTAGAGCAGTGGATACTTTTATATCCTTAACTCATTTTCATAGAATCCTCGCACCTTGATGTGCTGCATGCTGATATGATCAACTTGCAAATTTCCATTCTCTAAAGAAATAGGAAGAACTTAACCAAAGGTCTAAACTGGTGTCCATATCGCTACTTATTAATATGGTTATTGTTTTATTATGCCAATTACAGAATTCCACCTTTTACAAAAAGAGCGTAATTGGGAAAAGTGATCCAGGGAAAAACGGTTGACACTTTATTAACAACTGAGCAAAGTACTTTAAAAAAAAAAATACGCATTACTCTATTCAGCTGATAAACAGCCAAAATAAGTAGTTCAGGTTTTAAAGTGCCATTTACAAATCTTCGTAATACAGCGCTGGCCTACCGGAGGTCATTCCAATGGCGAATCGAGAAGCAGCATTTCATATAACGTGGGAAACAGTTTATTGTTATGGACGCATTTTAGCTTTGCTTATGGCTTAGCCCAATATTTCGGATGTCCTGTGTGTAATTCAGCCTGAAAGGCTTAGCAGGCGACGATTGCATTATATACCAAAAAAGATTTTTATTATAAGTATGATATATAAGTAATACTTTTATTATAAAGCGCATCAAAGTGAGCATCTCATAGTAAGGGTATTTTTGAAGGGGAGTCCGATACCTTAGATCTTATAATCTAAAGGATTTAACCAAGTAGTCACCACAGCGATCTCCAAAAATGTTCTATCCGATACCTCTGAAACTTCCTTCTAACTTCTGTATTTTGGATTAAAATAATCTGATAACTAAACCATAAAAGAAAACAGCAATTACTGACCGGTAATTCAAACAATATGATTTCTAAGCAAACGAAGTAAATGTCCAGAAGGATTATCAAAATAAATAGAAAAACCTGTATAAAAGCTGCTCAAGTACACTTCTGTAGAGAGCGACATCATTCATAAATTAATCTCCTCACTATCATTAAAACACTACTAGAAATTTCAAAATCCGTTTTTAATCAAAGTGTATAATAACCACTTACAAACGTTCTTTCAAAAAGCACGATCTGTTCGTGTTTTACTTACCTAACAACAGCGACGAGGTGCGGCTTTGAATCGATGCTGTCGTCGTCGGAATCTTCAGCGCCGAGGTCGTTTTGTGGAAGTATCGTTCTGTCAAGCCTTTTCGAATGCTCTGCTGAGGCAGGTACACCGCCAGCTTTTTCTTTTCTATTATCCTTCACTATTGTAGTATTTGGCGAAGTCGACTCCCGTATGTTGTTATGCGTCGGTGAAACAATATCGCGCGAAAATCTCCTGATACTCTCAACAATAGCTGATGTTGCTTTTTCGCGTCCCCGGGTCCTTATCGCAGTAGAATCGTCTTTCGACTGATCGAATCCCGCCGTCCGGCCAAGCCACCTACATGACACGAATCAGTGATATCAACTGCTGAGCCTCCTTGAGAAACACAATGGTGAACGATACCGCCCATTTGAATTTATGGAAAATTACTTCATCTGTATACCAGCACGTGTCCCACACTTCTTCAAGCAGAATTTCATTTTGAATTTGTGATCTTTTTGCAGTCCATGAGCTCTTATGTAGTGTATTCATTATGTGCCTGAGATAAAGTCAGTGCCCAACGTAAAAATCATTCCTTCAGGATAAGTTTACTTTACCCGTTTAGGGAAATGGATATATTTGTACCACACTCAGGATGCTTAGCGAAAGATCGGATGCAGACGAAATATTGCTAGCTTTAATATCACAATTAAAAAAACATGTATATATGATAAGCGCTACTTCGATTTTCTCAGATGGGCTTTAACATGGCCGAATTTTTTCATGTCTACAAAATCGCTACATTTCCGTGTAAAATTCTATAATCTGAGAAAATGCGTACCCGATGCATAGAGTAAGCTCGAAAATCCTAGGTCCAGAAACGAATTTAGTTATAATAAAAAAAAAAAAAAAATAGCACTTTTGTATTCCGATTCCATGATTATTTTGTGACTCATTTCTAGATAGCAATAATACAAATAATGTGTAGCCTAAAAAGATGAATGACTCACCACAGTACAATGCAGTTGTCAAAACTATCAAGAAGAACTTCTAACCTACTGTTTAAGGACAGGAGGAATACCAGTAGCTAGAGCAAGCCTGATTATAACTGGGCATAATTACTGGGTAGAGATTACTTCTATACGTAAAAATAAGTTTATTGAACACCGTTACATGAACAAGGATGCGTTATGTTAGTATATTATTGTTTATTAAGTCACAGCTCCCGAAAGTGTTTTCTAGTAGGCTAAGTAACAATAAGCGTTAGTTTCAAGTACTGAGACCCGTGCGAAAAATATAATCGCCCTTTACCAAAATACTACCCTAGTAAAAGATCTATTTATCGAACAGATATGTGCATATTATTTACATAGACTTATATATGGCAAATCTGCAGACTACGTAGAGTTTTTAGCATTGTTTGAGCGCTTTCGACTAGTTTCAATATACAGATTCATTACCCTACTCAGAAAAACAAAACTTTCTAGGAGATCTGTCTGCTCTTTTTGGGAATTTGGTATGGATGCTTACACATAGCAATAATACCTGTGGACCTCGTTGCAAAGTCCACTAGTCTTTTTGATTGGTCTATTTCCACTTGGTGACTTTAGCAGACAGACTGCGCTATGACAAAACACGCATTCGTCAGAAAATCAATTTTCTAACGGTAATCTATTTAGCCTCGAGCGAGGACCAAGGTGGCCGCTCTATTGAGGAAGTTGTACGCGACGCAGCGCTTACCACTTAACGTCCTCCTTGGTATCACTGAACCACTACGTTAAACTTTATGCGGTCTGGCGCCACTCCTTCACGCTTCTCTGTCATATAAAATAACTTTAATTATAACTGATATTTCCTGAACGAAATAAGTTATCAGAAAAAACTTAGGCGGCACTATTCCGGGGCACCACAAATTGATCACGTTTCGTTTCGCGATTTAGCTATCCTATGTAAGCAAACATATGTTGAAGAAAAGCATCCAATACTGTTAGCGATATCCAATATGACGACGAAGGCTCGACGGAGACTTTCTATACAGGCATCCGTCTCCATCGAACTCTAATCATGCTGTAGCCGCGCCCCCAAGCGGTGACTGCCACTTATAGGCGGGTGAAGTGGGCCTTTGAGTCATTGGGGAGGACCCAGAATGACTAACGTTTCGAATCTTACAAATGCACAAGAACCTGAAGCCTGCACGGTTCACACAGGCATGTCCATAAGCCTGAGGCCTTTTGTGTCGATGACGCGTAAAGGAGCCCTCCTTTGAGGGCGGTTTGAACAGCCGGACGATTTTATCTAGCAGATCGTGTCAAGGATCGAATCCAACAGCACGTAGATAGAATATTTTTCGTTGGCCTCGCTTGACATAGCATGCTGGAAATATTGACGCTATTGCGGCTACTTCATACTAATTGTACTCCGAAGCTCTATCATCATTCCCATGTATGTCCCAGTGCGCCTAATGTACCTTAAAACTTAAGCCGGAAAATTCAGGATCATTTTCTGTCGCGCCATCTGATAAAAATGTTCCGTCGCAAGAGCTCGTTTGCTCAACTCAAAGCCACTGGTAGTCCTTTTGCGTCGGTGTCCCTGTCAACAGTTTCTGATATGTGATGACCTTGGCCTCTCGCCCTGTACCAAACCTTGTGCGTACTCACGGACGGAATGTGCTATTATATTCAGGCCAAATGGACTGTTTATACGTTGACATCGACGCTGCTTAAGCCCCGCAGCCTAACTGCCACACTTTGCAAATTGGGGGAGAGTACTGTGAACAATATGAATAGTTTTTAAATAGGACTAAGAGACAAAGGTCCGCATCTGTAGTGTCATCGTCATATGAAGCTCTTCAAGATACCAGGGATGATAGTATCTGATTCTAATTTAATTTTCAAAAGTGGGCTTGAAATGCTATACTATTAAGTAAATAGTCTGCCCTGCGCACGATTCTTCGTCAGAGACAAATCCTCTCACCTGTCCGGTGAACTCGTTATCCCTATGCATCAATGTAGTAAGACTTTATTCGAAGAGTTGTATTGTTTTTCAACATTTTAAGGCAGCTGGAATGCCGGACTGCGTTAATAAGCCATATTGACCTTGCCTTTAAGTCACACAATTTTACTCTGGTCACTGACAGCGACTACTGAATGACCATCAAAGAAGTTCAAGCTGCTATAAACTTGATCTCACTTCCTACTTACAGGTCGCTCCAGATTTTACCAACAATTTAGGCTTTTTACAGGTTACTTAGCTTGTACAGGTAGAGATATTATTATTACTATTGAAATTACTACGATAATCAATATATAATGAGAAAGCTTTCAGACGAAAGCGTAGAAAAAAACCTTACACAACGTGAAAAGCACACTTCGAACAAGCTGAATACATTATCGTTATCCGTTCATGACGACGATATATTTTTATTCTATTCTTTTTGCGATGGGAGAGCCAATCGATCGGTCGCATGGCTACCGAGAAGATATTAACAGAACCGGTGGATGGGAATTCTATTGATCGGAAGGTATACGATCATTTCAAAGGCAAATGGGCAAAAAAATGAAAGGCAAAAGGGATTGCAATCTCCTTGTACAACTGAAATCTTTCGGCGTGCTTGTAATGTCAGGAAAAAGTGTTCTGTAAGATGGTAAGTCAAGCGTGTTTATGTGCCGACCACAGGAACAAGCATGTTCCTTGGAGTGTTCACGTGTTTAGGTACGTCCCTGAACTGTTCACAGATTTATAGCTTAATAATGGCTAAAGGAATACACCGTATCGTGTATACAAGTAAATGCCATTAAAGAGATGAAGCACATCTCGACATGCTCGTACGATCAGTCACGACAACCGAAAGGCTTGTATTGTAAAATGGCTTTATTCTTATACCATTTTGGTTACGTGATGTATATGCATACTGGCGAGGCTTTCATAGCCTAATTGTATAGGCCTTGTCAGAATAATTTAATAATATCTATTTCGAGCTACCCAGCCCCACATGTTTGATAAAGATACATCGCTTAGGGCGATCGTGACCGCTGCTAGAGTATTGACACGAACTTGGAGAATAACTGTTCATTAAGCCGTGTTTTCGTTCCGAGCAACTATAATAGGATACATATTCTTACGGTGTAACTAAACGCAGTATAGTCGTAGTAAAAGACCCATATTATTACCGCTATCCGCGGTATTCTAACTAAGTTTTTTCTCGGCAAATTTTACTACACCGTTATTTTCTATGTGGATGCAGTAACCAGCAGCATCGACACTCGAATAATCAATACATTTTCTACTCAAATATATTGATCTTCTATCGCAGAGCAACTTATCAAGTCTTGTTCAATGCTTCGAGGCAGGACGAAACATTTGCTTTCCGCTATTGGAGAGCTGCACTTAGACCAGCTCTGATGAAGAAAGTCAGGAAACTATAATGAAGAAAAGCGTCGGCCGTTCTATTTTGCTATTTTGCACCCGTGCTAGATCATTGGATATCCTAGAAGGTGCAAAACGTCCTTAACATGATTTAGAGACTCAACTTGTGATACATGTCGGACGCCCGAAACGGAGGATCTTGCGTTATACGAGCTCTGCGCGCTGTTGAATTAGCGACGAGAAATCTATATATTATGGAATCGCCTTAAGGCTTGTCATTCACATGTAGACAAAACAAATACTGTGCGGTACTTAGATGAGATTTACATGTAATAAATTAATGCCAATGATAGTTCGATGTTTTTGCGCGTTGGACCCAGTGGTTATATTGCGGATAGGTTTATAGGAGATTATGCTAAATATATGGCTGTATGGTAGTGTAGCCTTTTTTTCACTACGGTTAAACTGATATGGAAACAGACGAACATAGGCAGTGCTTATTTCTCACTCTCAAGAGGGGCCAAGCTCACCAATTCTTTACCTATGATGTAGTAGTTCAAATAAAACGTGGAGGTTCAAGACCATATTAAAATTACGAAGAAATAAACATTGATTACGATTTATGTATGCAACGAGACTTCTTCTAACTGAACGTTTATAACATGAGTAAGTTAATACAGCCGGTTGATCAACCAGCTCTGGAAGAGAAATGAGCCATGGAGTTGCGTCGGTGGTAGAAGTAATGACATAAAACTCAGCCAGAAATGGTCCCAGTATATCTTGAGATTTGTGGATATTCACTTATCTAAAGTGAGAAGAGTAGGGAATAGGGAATACCTATTATTTTTTCATCCGTTTGTCTAGAAAACAGTATTTGCTTTGAATTCGTTTAGTTAACGGAAGCGCTTAATAGAAATAAAGAAAATATTGGAATTCCCCAAGTGTCCAGTCGCAGCGTCTCGCAGCCACTAGATCCATCACAATGATGTGCG